GAGACCCCATAGACCCATAGAAACCCCATAGAGACCCATAGAGACCCCATAGACCCCCATAGAGCCCCAGAGATCCCCATAGAAACCCCATAGAGACCCATAGAGACCCCATAGACCCATAGAAACCCCATAGATCCCCACAGAGACCCATAGACCCCCATAGACCCCCATAGACCCCCATAGACCCCCATAGATCCCCATAGACCCCCATAGACCCCATAGACCCCCATAGACCCCCATAGACCCCCATAGACCCCCATAGACCCCCATAGAGCCCCATAGACCCCCATAGACCCCCATAGATCCCCCCGTACCTGCCCTTGCCGCAGGCGGTGCGAGAGCAGCCTCATGCGCACGGGGCCGGGGCCGCTGTGGGCGGCGGGGGGGGGGATGGTGACGGAGCAGCGGGGGTCAGAGGCCAAGGGGAGCTCCAGGGGCTCGGGGGGCACCGAGAGGGCGCGGCTCAGCCCCACGGGGGGGCCCGCCAGGCTCGCCAGGGACTGCGGGGACAGGGAGCATAGGGGGCTATGGGGGGCTATGGGGGGCTATGGGGGCTATGGGGGCTATGGGGGCTATGGGGATAGGGAGGCTATAGGGATATATGGGCATAGGGAGGCTATGGGGATGCTATGGGGATAGAGAGGCTGTGGGGAGGCTATGGGGAGGCTATGGGGAGGCTATGGGGATGCTATGGGGAGGATATGGGGATAGGGAGTCTATAGGTATCTATGGGGAGGGGATAGGGAGGCTATGGGCAGGTACTGGGAGCCTATAGCGACGCCTATGGGCAGCCATAGAGAGCTACAGCGACACCTATAGGGAACTATAGCAACATCAATAGGGATCTACAGCGACACCTATAGGGATCTACAGCGACAGCAATAGGGATCTACAGCGACACCAATAGGGATCTACAGCGACACCTATAGGGAACTATAGCAACATCAATAGGGATCTACAGCGACACCTATAGGGAACTATAGCAACATCAATAGGGATCTACAGCGACACCAATAGGGATCTACAGCGACACCAATAGGGATCTACAGCGACACCAATAGGGATCTACAGCGACACCTATAGGGAACTATAGCAACATCAATAGGGATCTACAGCGACACCAATAGGGATCTACAGCGACACCAATAGGGATCTGCAGCGACACCAATAGGGAACTACAGCAACATCAATAGGGATCTACAGCGACACCAATAGGGATCTACAGCGACACCAATAGGGATCTGCAGCAACACCAATAGGGAACTACAGCAACATCAATAGGGATCTACAGCGACACCAATAGGGATCTACAGCGACACCAATAGGGATCTACAGCGACACCAATAGGGAACTACAGCAACATCAATAGGGATCTACAGCGACACCAATAGGGATCTACAGCGACACCAATAGGGATCTGCAGCAACACCAATAGGGAACTACAGCAACATCAATAGGGATCTACAGCGACACCAATAGGGATCTACAGCGACACCAATAGGGATCTGCAGCGACACCAATAGGGAACTACAGCAACATCAATAGGGATCTGCAGCGACACCAATAGGGATCTACAGCGACACCTCGGGGCAGCTGTAGGGAACTACAGTCACCTTCTATAGGCTCTCTATGGGGTCCCTATGGGCTCTCTATGGGGTGTCTATGGGGTGTCCATGGGGTGTCTATGGGTTCTCTATGGGGTCTCTATGGGGTGTCTATGGGGTCTATATGGGGTCTCTATGGGGTCTCTATGGGGTCTCTATGGGGTGTCTATGGGGTCTCTATGGGGTGTCTATGGGGTCTCTATGGGGTCTCTATGGGGTCTCTATGGGGTGTCTATGGGGTCTCTATGGGGTGTCTATGGGGTCTCTATGGGTCTCTATGGGTCTCTATGGGTCTCTATGGGGCTCACCGCCAGGAGCTCGTTCTCGGTGAGGCTCCAGAACCGCTTCCAGAAGCCCACCCCCAGGTGCTGCGTCTCCCGCTCGAACTCGGCCCCGCGCAGCTCCGGGTCCAGCGCGAACTTGCCCGTGGTGAAGAGGGAGCTCGCAGCCACCCCTGTGCGTGGGGCCAGTGGGGCCAGTGGGGACCGGAGCACCCAGAGGGACCCCATTGGGACCCCATAGAGCCCATAGGGACCATAGGGACCCCATAGAGCCCATAGGGACCCAACAGCATCCATAGGGACCCAATAGTATCCATAGAGGACAATAGCGTCCATAGGTGCCATTGACCCCATAGAGACCAATGGGTGCCAGTGCCCCCCATAGCCCCCCATAGGAACCAATGGGTACCATAGCCCCTCATGGGAACCAATGGGTACCATAGCCCCCCATAGGAACCAATGGGTGCCATACCCCCCATAGGAACCAATGGGTGCCATAGCCCCCCATAGGAACCAATGGGTGCCCTTGCCCCCCATAGGAATCAATGGGTGCCATAGCCCCCCATAGGAACCAATGGGTGCCATACCCCCCATAGCCCCCCATAGGAATCAATGGGTGCTCACCCAGGCCCGGGTCCCCCTTGCGGTAGCTCTCCCCGAAGGACACGAGGCCGATGGTGATGGTCTGCAGGAAGGGGCGCAGCGCGGGCGAGAACTGCACGGGCCCCACAGAGCACCTATAGCGCCCCATAGGGCCCTATGGATGCCCTAGAGAGCCCTACAGCATCCATAGGGGACTATGGGAGCCATATACCACTATAGACCCCCATATACCCCTATCTGCCCCATATGTACCCTATATACCTGCACATAACCATATATACCCCATATATACCTTATACAGTGATATATACACGTGCATACCCGATGTATACGCTATGTACCTTATGTACCCCTATGTAATCCTATATACCGCATGTATGTACCCATATATAACCCATGTATATTCTATATACCCCTATATATACCAACATACCCCTACAGACTCCACACACGCCTCTATACCTGTGTACCTATATACTCTATATACTCTATATACCCCTACATAACTCCATAGACCCCCATACACCCCCATACACCCCATAGCCCCCATAGACACCACAGACCCCCATAGTCCCCCATAGACACCCCATAGACCCCACAGCCCCTCTTTCATCCCCATACACCCCATAGCCCCCACAGACCCCATACACCCCATAACCCCAAACCCCCATAGACCCCATAGCTCCCACAGACCCCATAGACCCCATAGAGCCCCACAGACCCCATAGACCCACAGACCCCATAGACCCCATAGCCCCCCCTAGCCCCCCATAGCCCCCCATAGCCCTCCCTAGCCCCCCATAGCATCACCTGGAAGCCGAGGCAGCGCCCATAGAAGCAGCCGTTCCTCATGGTGCTGAACTCGCTCAGCACCTCCTCGCTCACGCGGTCCCTGCCCCCTCCCCCATCTTCACCCTCAGCAGCACCGCTGACGTCATCCCCTTCTGGCGGGAACAGGGCCCCGGGCGGGTTCTCCGCTAGGAGGCGCTGCGCCAAGCACAGGAGCGCGCGCACCTGCGCCAGCGCGGCCGCGCACGCCTCCAGCTCGGCGGCGTGGCGGGAAAACCCCGCTTTTCCCGGGAGAACGCCGGAGAGGCCGCGCCGCCACGAGGGCGAGGGCGGGGGCAGCAGCAGCAGCGGCGACGTTGGCGCCCCCTGGCGGCGCGCGGCCAGGGCCAGGGCGCGGGAGCGGCGCGCGGCGTGCGCCACCAGGCGGCGCGCGGCCAGGGCCAGGCTGCGGTAGCCGTTGGCCGGCGTTCCCGCGTCCAGGTCGAAGCGCGGGAAAACGCGGGAGAGGTGGCGCAGGGCCGGCTCGAGGCGGCGGGAGTGGTGCAGGATTTGGCGGGAAGCGGCGGCCAGGCGCGCGCTGAGGTCGGGGGAGGGGAGGGAGGGGGAGGGGGAGGAGAAGAAGCGCGCGTTTTCCGCGGCGGTGGCGCGAAGGGACTCGAAGAGGAGCTGGGAGGCGCGCGGGAGGGGGGGGAGGGGGGAGCGGGTGGCGGGGGGAGGGGGTCTGGGGGGGGCTGTGGGGTGGGGGGGGCTATGGGGTGATGGGGGGTTAGGGGGTTGGGGGGGGCTTATGGGGGTTATGGGGTCTGGGGAGGTCTATGGGGTTATGGGGTGATGGGGAGCTATGGGGTGGGGGGTTAGGGGGTGATGGGTTATGGGGTGATGGGGAGCTATGGGGGTTATGGGGTTTGGGGGGGTCAGAGGGGTTAGGGGGTGATGGGGAGCTATGGGGTGAAGGGGGGGCTATGGGGTTATGGGGGCTCTGGGGGTCCGGAGGGCTGCCGGAATCCATGGAGCTGTGGGAGAGATGGGAGCTATAGGGAGGGATGCAGGGATATAGGGATGCTGCTATAGGGGATATAGGGATGCTGCTATAGGGGATATAGGGATGCTATAGGGGATATAGGGATGCAGCTATAGGGATGCAGCTATAGGGATGCAGCTATAGGGGATATAGGGATGCAGCTATAGGGGATATAGGGATGCAGCTATAGGGGATATAGGGATGCAGTTATAGGGGATATAGGGATGCAGCTATAGGGGATATAGGGATGCAGCTATAGGGATGCAGCTATAGGGGATATAGGGATGCAGCTATAGGGATGCAGCTATAGGGGATATAGGGATGCAGCTATAGGGATGCTATGGGGATATAGGGATGGTATAGGGGATATAGGGATGCAGCTATAGGGATGCAGGGATGGATGCGGGGACCAGGACCCAGCATCCCTTTATCAAGGGGCCCCTGACACCCATTGGCGGGGGGGGGATGTGGGAGGAGCAATGGGGCCCCATAGGGAGGGCTAGGGGGTGGGGGGGAAGGAATGTGGGGCAGAGGGGCCCCATAGAGGGTAATGGAGTGGGATGTGGGGCAGAGGGGTTGGGTTGCTCCATAGAGGATAATGGGGGGGGTGGGGCAGAGGCCAGGGGTTGCCCCATAGAGGATAATGGGGGGGGTGTGGGGCAGAGGCCAGGGCGGCCCCATGGGGGTGTCTGGGGCAGGGGCCGCATTGGGTAACGCTGTGGGGCAGAGGGGACGGGGGGGGAAGGGGGGGAAGCTGAGGCCAAGGGTAAAGGGGAGGGCATGGGGGGAGTGTGGGGCAGCCATAGGGTGGTTATGGGGCAGAGAGGGAGGGGGCTTTATGGGGCAGGGGGGTCTGTGTCTATGGGGCAGCTCTAGGGATGCTCTGGGGTGGGGGGGTGGGGGCACAGCTCTCTATGGGGCTGGCGGGGGGGGTCTGGGTCTCTATGGGGCAGCCACAGGGTGGCTATGGGGAAGAGAGGATGGCGTCCGGGTCTCTATGGGGCAGCCATAGGGCAGCTATAGGGTGGCTATGGGGTAGGGGGGTATGTGTCTCTATGGTTCTGCTATGGGGCAGAAAGGGGGGGTTCTGGGTTTCTATGGGGCAGCCATAGGCTGGTTATGGGGCAGAAAGGGAGGGTTCTGGGTGTCTATGTGGCACCCATAGGGATTCTATGGGGTAGGGGGGGGGGGCTGTCCGTGTCTCTATGGGGCAGCCATAGGGATGCTATGGGGCAGAGGAGAGGGAGCCCAGCTCTCTATGGGGCAGCCATAGGGATGCTGTAGGGTGGGGAGGAGGTGTCTGGGTCTCTATGGGGCCGCTATGGGGCTGGGGGGGGGTCCCCTCCCCCGTCCCCCCCCTCACTTCTCACCCTCTCGCCACCGGTCGGCTCCCAACCACGTGACACCTCCCAACCAATCACATGGCTCCGGCCCCTCCCCCCTCCCACGCCCCTCCCCCCCCGTTACCAGGGCGACCCCTGCTGGCGTGACCCCACTGTGACCCCTGGGTGGATCAATTGGGGTCAAGGGAGCGTCATGGGCAAAGGGGTCATGTGGGGGTCAAAGGGGTCCTGACCTGGCCTTGACCCAGTGTAACACCCCCCTCCCCGACTGGTTTAATCCTGTTAAATCCAGTTTAAACCCAGTTTAATCCAGTTTAGCCCAGTTTAAATCCATCTTAACACAGTTTAATCCAGTTTAAATCTATCTTAACCCAGTTTAATCCAGTTTAAACCAGTTTAGCCCAGTTTAAATCCATTTTAACCCAGTTTAATCCAGTTTAAACCCATTTTAATCCAGTTTAAATCCATTTTAACTCAGTTTAATCCAGTGTAAACCCAGTTTAATCCAGTTTAAACCCAGTTTAATCCAGTTTAAATCCATTTTAACTCCGTTTAATCCAGTGTAAACCCAGTTTAATCCAATGCAAACCCAGTTTAATCCAGTTTAAACCCAGTTTAAATCCATTTTAATCCAGTTTAATCCAGTTTAAACCAGTTTAGCCCAGTTTAAATCTATCTTAACCCAGTTTAATCCAGTTTGAATCCATTTTAACCCAGTTTAAACCCAGTTTAAACCCAGTTTAAATTCATCTTAACCCAATTTAATCCAGTTTAAACCAGTTTAGCCCAGTTAAACACAGTTTAACCCAGTTTAACGCAATTTAAACCCATTTTAACTCAGTTTAAAGCCAATTTAAACCAGTTTAATCCATTTTAAACCCAATTTAAACCAAATTTAACCCAGTCTAACCCAGTTTAACCCAAACCCAGTTTAACCCAGTTTAAACCCAATTTATCCCAATTTAAACCCAGTTTAACCCACTATCAACCCAGTTTTAACCCAACTTAAGCCCAGCTTAAACCAAATTTAAACCCAGTGTAAGCCAGTTTAACCCACTTTAACGCAATTTAACCCAATATAAACCCAGTTTAAACCCAATTTAACCCCATTTAACCCCTCCTACCCCCCCAAACCCCCCTTTAACCCAGCCCCCCCCTTATCCTCCAGGCCGCCAGAGGGCAGCGCCGCTCCCAAAGCCCCTCCCACGGGGGGCGTGGCCTTGCCTAACGTAGAGGGGGGGAACCCCCTTCCCCCCTCCCTCCTCCGCGGGGATTCCCCTTTGGGGGGGCAGGGGCGCCGCCAGTGGCTCCGTCCTCAGCCAGTGGGGAACGAGGAGCACGGAGGGGGGCGTGGCCAATGGAGAAAGGGGCGTGGCCAATGAGGGGCTTCGGTGCGGGGGTGGCCTAGAGGGGGGAGCTCAATGGGGAAAGGGGGAGTGGCCAATGGGGAAAGAGGAGGAGGGGGCGTGGCCAAAGGGGAAAGGGGGCGTGGCCAGCAGGGGGCGGGCTTTTCCCGCGGGGAAATCCCGGGGCTCGATCGCGGCTCGCTCCTGGGACGCGGGAAATTGAGGAGGGGGGCGGAGGGGGGGGGAAGCGTGGGAAAATCCCCAAAACGCGGGAAAGAGAAGGGGGGTAGGGGGCATTAAAGGGGGGAGGGGCAAGAGGACCCCCTCCCCCCACCCCCCCCCCATAGGCATCAATGGACGAGCTCCCCATTGACCTCCGCACCCCCCGCGGGGGCTCCTCCCCCCCAGAGGCTTCGTTGCCGCTGCGGAAGCGGCGCTCGGTAACGGGGGCGGGAGGGGTGGGGGCTGGGGGAGGGGACCCCACCCCGGGGAAAGCGGCTCGAGGGGATCCCCCCCTCCCCCCACTTCCGGGCCCCCCCATTGCAGGTGAGGATTGGTGGGGGAGGGGCACCTCAACATGGGGGGGTGGGGGGTGAAATTGGGTTTAAAAGGTGGAAAATGGGCTCAAACCCCCCCTCCCCCCCCAGGGCCGCTGTTGGGGCCCCCCCCGGGGGTGCTGGCCCTGGCCCCCCCCCCTTTGGCCTTCGTGGCCCCCCCCCCCGAGGCTCAATTGGCCGCTGCCATCGCTGCGGCCACCGGGCAGGACGAGGACGGGGACACGTGAGTGAGGGGAACCCCCCCATGGACCCCCCCATGGGACCCCGCCTATAGAACCCCTATGGGAACCCCCCCCATGGACCCCCGCTTGGACCCCCCTATAGGCCCCCTATGGATCCCCCCATGGACCCCCCCATGAGACCCCCCCTATAGAATCCCTATGGGAACCCCCCGATAGGCCCCCTATGGGACACCCCCCCATGGACACCCCCCTTGGACCCCCCTCTGGACCCCCCCTATGGGCACCCCCTGTTGACCCCCCCATAGACTCCCCATATAACTCCTATGGGACCCCTATGGGAGACCCACTATGGACCCCCTCATGGGTATTCCCTTATGGACCCCTCCCCATGGGGCACCCTATGGGACCCCCCATAGACCCCCTATGGGCAGCAAATGGGATCCCCCCCCATAGACCCCTTATGGACCCCCCATGGACCCCCCTTATAGACTCCCCATGCAACAACCCCTATGGGACCCCCCCCATGGGAACCCCCGATAGATCCCCCCATGGACCCCCCCTATAGACCCCGTATGGACCCCCCAATGGGATACCCCCTATGGAACCCCTATGGGATATCCCCTATGGAATCCCTATGGACCCTCTATGGGATCCCCCCTATTGACCCACTATGGGACCCCCCATTGAGACCCCCTATGGGACCCCCTTTTAGCCCCCCACCATAGAACCCCCCCTCCCCCCCGTGGGATTTCCCCCTCCTCGGGCCCCCCCCACCCCCACCCGTGGGAACGCTCCCATTTCCTCCCCACCCCCCTCAAGCGGGGAATCCCCGCCTCTGACGTCACCGCCGTGGCCACGCCCCTTTACTGGAAGTGCGCACGGGAGGGGGGGAGGGGGAGGAGCAGCGGCGGCTTCCTGCTCCCTCACCCCCCATTGTCCTGTGTTATCCCATGTTATCCATGTTATCCCATGTTATCCTATGTTACCCCATGTTGTTATACCATGTTACCCCGTGTTACCCCATGTTGCCCATGTTACCCATGTTATCCGATGTTATCCCATGTTATCCGATGTTATCCCATGTTATCCCATGTTATCCCGTGTTATCCCATGTTATCCCATGTTATCCCGTGTTACCCCATGTTATCCCATGTAATCCCATGTCGTTCCCGTGTTATCCCAGGCCCCTCCACATCGCAGTGGCTCAGGGCTCCCTGGGCCTCGTTCGCCGCCTCGTGGCCCTGTTCCTGTGGGGGGGGCAGGACCTGGATGTGCAGAACCGGCTGCGGCAGGTGGGGGTCAATGGGGATCAATGGGGCCAATGGGGATCAATGGGGATCAATGGGGATCAATGGAGTCAATGGGGATCAATGGAGTCAATGGGGATCAATGGAGTCAATGGGGATCAACAGGGATCAATGGAGTCAATGGGAATCAATAGGGATCAATGGAGTCAATGGGCATCAATGGAGTCAATGGGGATCAATAGGGATCAATGGAGTCAATGGGCATCAATAGGGATCAATGGAGTCAATGGCGTCAATGGGGATCAATGGAGTCAATGGGCATCAATGGGGTCAATGGAGTCAATGGAGCTCAATGGGGATCAATGGAGTCAATGGGGATCAATGGAGTCAATGGAGCTCAATGGGAATCAATGGAGTCAATGGGGATCAATGGGGATCAATGGAGTCAATGGGGATCAATGGGGATCAATGGAGTCAATGGGAATGAATGGAGTCAATGGGCATCAATGGGGATCAACGGAGTCAATGGGCATGAATAGGGATCAATGGAGTCAATGGGAATGAATGGAGTCAATGGGGATGAATAGGGATCAATGAAGTCAATGCGGATCAGTAGGGATCAGTGGAGTCAATGGGGATCAATAGGGATCAATGAAGTCAATGGGGCTCAATGGAATCAATGGGGCTCAATGGAATCAATGGGGACCAATGCAGTCAGTGGGCATCAACAAAGCGCTCAAATCCCGCTCGCTCTCGCGATACCTCCCCCCCTAAACCCCGCCCACTTCCGGCGCAGACCCCTCTCCACGTCGCCATCTTGGCGTCGCAGCCGGCGCTGGTGCGGCTGCTGGTGGCGCACGGCGCATGCGCGATGGCGCGGGACCGGCGCGGCCGCACGGGGGCGCACCTGGCGTGCGCGGGCGCGGGAGCGCGCGTGCTGCGGGAGCTGCTGCGGGGGGGGCCCGACCTCCACGTGACCGACTACGAGGGTGAGGGGGGGCAATGGGGGCAATGGGGGCAATGGGGGAATGGGGGCAATGGGGGTCAGTGGGGGTCAGTGGGGGAAATGGGGGGGAAATGGGGCAGGGGGGAGGGGGCAATGGGGGAGGGGGCAATGGGGGTCAATGGGGGAATGGGGGCAATGGGGGAATGGGGGCAATGGGGGTCAGTGGGGGTCAATGGGAGTAATGGGGGGTAATGGGGGCAATGGGGGAAATGGGGGAAATTGGGATGGGTATGGAGGTAGCTTCCATTGGGATCAGTGGGGTCCCATTGGGGCCAGTGGGGTTCATGGGCTCCCATTGGGGTCAGTGGGGTCCCATTGAGTCAGTGGGGTTCAGGGGCTCACATTGGGGTCAATGGGGTCCCAATGGGTCAATGGGGTTCAAGGGCTCACATTGGGGTCAATGGGGTCCCATTGGGGTCAATGGGGCTCAGGGCATTGTCCCCCACTGACCCCATTGACCCCCATTGCCCCCAGGTCTCACCCCCCTGCACCTCGCGGTGCATTCTGGGTGCCGGGAGAGCGTGGAGCTGCTGCTGGAGCACGGGGCTGACGTGGACGCAGTGGTGAGGGGGGGCTGTGGGGTCCTATGGGGCTCTATGGGGCTCTATGGGAGTTCTATGGGTCTCTGGGGTCTCTGTGGGGCTCTGTGGGTCTGTATGGGGTCTCTATGGGGCTCTATGGATCTCTCTGGGTCCCTATGGGACTCTGTGGGGTCCCCTGACCCATAGCATCCCCCCCCCAGGACATCAAGAGTGGTCGCTCCCCACTGCAGCACGCGGTGGAGAGCAACAGCCTCGAGATGGTGGAGCTGCTCATTAGGGTAATGGGGGGCAATGGGGGGCAATGGGGTAATGGGGGCAATGGGGTAATGGGGGGCAATGGGGTTATGGGGGTCAATGGGCAGGTTTGGGGTCCCCGTTGGTCCCCATTGACTCCCCAGAGCCCCCCATTCACCCATCCATAAGCGCCCATTAACCCTCTATAGACCCCCATAGGCGCCCATAGCCATTCACCCCCATTCACCCCCCATTACCCCACCATTATCCCCCATTCACCCCCATTCACTCCCATTCACCCCTTATAGCCCCCCATAGCCCCCATCTACCCCATTCACCCCCCATTACCCCCCATTCACCCCCTATAGCCCCTCCCTCTCCTCTCCCCCCTCCATCCCCACCCAATCACGTGTCTCCTCCCCATTACCCCCCCATTCACCTCCATTCACTTTCATTCACGCCCCAATATCCCCCCAGTCCCCCCCATATCCAACCATTGACCCCCATCCACCCCCATTCACCCCCTATTACCCCCATATTCACCCCCTATAGCCCCTCCCTCCCCCCCACCCCTCCATCCCACCCAATCACGTGTCTCCCCTCCCCTCCATCCCCACCCAATCACGTGTCTCCCCTCCCCTCCATCCCCACCCAATCACGTGTTCCCCCCTCCATCCCCACCCAATCACGTGTCTCCCCTCCCATCCATCCCCACCCAATCACGTGTCTCTCCCCCCATCCACACCCAATCACGTCTCTCCCCCTCCATCCCCACCCAATCACGTGTCTCCCCCTCCATCCCCACCCAATCACGTGTCTCTCCCCATCCACACCCAATCACGTCTCTCCCCCTCCATCCCCACCCAATCACGTCTCCATCCCCACCCAATCACGTGTCTCCCCCTCCATCCCCACCCAATCACGTGTCTCTCCCCCCATCCACACCCAATCACGTCTCTCCCCCTCCATCCCCACCCAATCACGTCTCTCCCCCCTGCATCCCCACCCAATCACGTGTCCCCCCCCTCCATCCCCACCCAATCACGTGTCTCTCCCCCCCCATCCCCACCCAATCTCGTGTCCCCCCCTCCATCCCCACCCAATCACGTGTCTCTCCCCCCATCCCCACCCAATCACGTCCCCCCCCTCCATCCCCACCCAATCACGTGTCTCTCCCCATCCCCACCCAATCACGTGTCTCTCCCCCCTCCATCCCCACCCAATCACGTGTCTCTCCCCCTCCATCCCCACCCAATCACGTGTCTCTCCCCCTCCATCCCCACCCAATCACGTCTCTCCCCCTCCATCCCCACCCAATCACGTCTCCCCCCTCCATCCCCACCCAATCACGTGTCTCCCCCCCTCCATCCCCACCCAATCACGTCTCTCCCCCTCCATCCCCACCCAATCACGTCTCTCCCCCCCTCCATCCCCACCCAATCACGTCTCTCCCCCTCCATCCCCACCCAATCACGTCTCTCCCCCTCCCCCGTTTCCCGCAGCGCGGCGCTGACGTCAACGCCCAGTCCTACGCGGGGTGCACGGCGCTGCACGCGGCGGCGGCGCGCGGCCACCAGGGGGCGCTGCGGCTCCTGCTCCGCAACGGCGCCGACTGCGGCGTCCGCAACCACCACAACGAGCGCCCCCTGGCGGTGGCCAGAGACAGGGAGGTCAATGGGGGGATATGGGGGTCAACGGGGGGGTATGGGAGGGTATGGGGGGATATGGGGGTCAATGGGGGGTGAATAGGGGGGAATGGAGGTTATGGGGGGGATATGGGGAAATGGGGGGTGAATGGGGGGTATGGGGGTTAATGGGGGCTATGGGGGGAATGGGGATCAATGGGGGCTGTAGGGAGTGAATGGGGGGAATGGGGGTAAATAGGGGTAAATGGGGTAATGGGGGGAATGGGGGTGAATGGGGGAATGGGGGTAAATGGGGGCTATGTGGGGAATGGGGGTCAATGGGGGGCTGTAGGGGGTGAATGGGGGGATATGGGGGTGAATGGGGGAATGGGGAGTAAAGGGGGGAATGGGGATCAATGCGGGAATTGGGAGTAATGGGGAGGTATGGGGGTTAATGGGGGGCTATTGGGGGAATGGTCAATGGGGGGCTATAGGGGGTGAATGGGGGGTAATGGGTGAATGGGGGGATATGGGTGGTGAATGGGGGGAATGGGGAGTAACGGGGGGAATGGGGGAATGGCAGTCAATGGAGGTCAATGGGGGGCTATGGGGGGTGATTGGGGGCTATATGGGGGTCAATGGGGGGAATGGGGCTGAATGGGGTGTTAATGGGGTGAATAGGGGAGAATGGGGGTGAATGGTGGTCAATGGGGGTAATGGGGGGCTATGGGGGTGAATGGGGGGTAATGGGGGCTATGGGTGGGTAATGGGGGCTATGGGGGGTCAATGGGGTCTATGGGGGAGTAATGGGGGTCTATGGGGAGTCAATGAAGCTCAATCGGGCTCACATGGGGGGCAGGGAAGTCCCCTCAGGCCCCGCCCCCTGACGTGGCCCCGCCCTCCCCTCAGGTCATTGACATCCTCCGTGGGAAATCCGCCCGCCCGGCCCCGCCCCCTGCCCGGGCAGCCAATGGTGAGCGAGGGAGGGAATCACGTGGTCATGGAGGGGGGAGGGGTGTGGGGGGGAGGAGCTTGCTCATGACCCCTCCCTCCCTCCAGGCCGCTCCTCCCGCAGCCCTGCCCACCCTCCTCCAGCAGCCAATCAGAGCGCGGCATCCCCCCAGCCGGCCAATGAGGTGCAGGGGGCCCGCCCGGACCAATCAGGGGAGGCGAAGGACAGGGGAAGCCCCGCCTCCAAACCCCAGCGAGACACGTGACCAGTACCCCCCCCCATTCATGAGCATTAAACCAGGTTTTGGGCTGAATTCAAGGGATTTTGGGTCAAAACGAGGCCCAGAAGTGACCCCCGGTCCTCCAGGGGGCGCCCTCTATGATTGCTGGGTCCTCCAAGCCCCTGGAGGCGCTCCTCAGTCCTCCAATAGTCTGACTCTATGGTCTGTGGGTCTGCCAGTGCTCCCACTCTATGGTTCCAATGGTCCTCCAATGCTCGCTCTCTATGGTTCAAGGTCCTCCAAGCCCCCCCAGGAGCGCCCCTCAGTCCTCCAGCCATTCAACTCTATGGCCCCAATGGTCCTCCAGGACCCCTAAAGGGCCCCTCAGTCCTCCAGCACTTGGGCTCTATGGTCCCAATGGTCCTCCAGGCCTCTGGGGGCGCCTTTCAGTCCTCCAATGGTCTGGCTCTATGGCTTGTGGGTCCTCCAGTGGTCCCGCTCTATGGTTACATTGGTCCTCCAGGCCCTTGGAGGTGCCCCTCAGTCCTCCAGCACTTGGACTCTATGGTTCTAATGGTCCTCCAGTGCTCCCACTCTATGGTTAATGGATGTCCGGAACCCCGAGGTGCCCTTCAGTCCTCCAATGGCCAGACTCTATGGTTCCAATGGTCCCAATCTAAGGCCAATGGTCCTCTACGACCCCATAGGTGCCCCTCAGTCCTCCAACGGTTCAACTCTATGGCTCCAACGGTCCTCCAGGACCCCATAGGTGCCCCTCAGTCCTCCAGCACTTCGAGTCTATGGTCCTGATGGTCCTCCAACGCTCCCACTCTATGGTTCAAGGTCCTCCAAGCCCCTAGAAGCGCCCCTCAGTCCTCCAGTGGCTGAGCTCTATGGTCCCAATGCCCCTCCCCCATTGCCCAATTTCACCACTTCCTGCCCCAAAAGCAGAACCTCCCCCTCCCCCCCAACACCACCGCTGGGGGCGGGGCTTGACCGGATGCCCCTCCCCTCCCCCCCCCAATAAGAGCAGATCCGGACGGGATCCGAAGGGAAGAGCGATGGGGGGGGGATGGGCGCTGCTGGGGCTGCTGCTGCTGGCGCCAGGTAACCCCCGCCCCTCCCCCACCGGCAAAGGGGAGCCAATGGGAGGTGGGGGAGGGGGCTGGGGTATAAGGGGCAGGGCTATGGGTTCTGTGCTATGGGGCAGGGCTATGGGTTCTATGCTATAGGGCTGGGCTATGGGTTCTGTGCTATGGGGCTGGGCTATGGGTTCAATGCTATGGGGCTGGGCTATGGGTTCTATGCTATGGGGCTGGGCTATGGGTTCTGTGCTATGGGGCTGGGCTATGGGTTCTATGCTATGGGGCAGGGCTATGGGTTCTGTGCTATGGGGCTGGGCTATGGATGCTCTGCTATGGGGCTGGGCTATGGGTTCTGTGCTATGGGGCAGGGGTGTGGATGCTCTGCTATGGGGCAGGGCTATGGGTTCTGTGCTATGGGGCTGGTCTATGGGTTCTATGCTATGGGGCTGGGCTAGGGATGCTCTGCTATGGGGCAGGGCTATGGGTTCTGTGCTATGGGGCTGGGCTATGGATGCTCTGCTATGGGGCTGGGCTATGGGTTCTATGCTATGGGGCTGGGCTAGGGATGCTCTGCTATGGGGCAGGGCTATGGGTTCTGTGCTATGGGGCTGGGCTATGGATGCTCTGCTATGGGGCACTCTATGGTCTCTATGGGTTCTATGCTATGGGGCAGGGCTCTGAGTTCTCATCACTTCCATGTCCCCCCTCCCCCCTCCATGGGGCACTCGAGCCCCTTCCCCACCCCCCATTGGGTGCCCTTGGGGGGGGTCCTGGGTCCTCCGTGGGGTGGGGGAGGGCCTGAGGCAAGGCCGGATGTGGGGGGTGAATCATGGAGGAGGGGGGAGGGCAGGGACTTCCTTCCCATGAGTCATTGCGGGGGGGCAGGGAGGCCTGAGTCTATGGGTCTCTATGGAGTCTATGGAGTCTCTATGGGGTCTCTATGGGTCACTATGGGGTCTCTATGGGGTCTCTATGGAGTCTCTATGGGTCTCTATGGGGTCTCTATGGGGTCTCCAGGGGTCTCTATGGGTCCCTATGGGTCCCTATGGTTCTCTATGGGTGTCTCTGGGTCCCTATGTGTCTCTATGGGTCACCATGGGATCCCTATGTTTCTCTATGGGTCTCTATGGGGTCTCTATAGGCTTCTATGGGGTCCCTATGGGGTCTCTATGGACCTCTATGGGTCTCGATGAGGTCTCTATGGGTCTCTATGGGTCTCTATGGGTTTCTATGGGTCTCTATCGGTCTCTATGGGTCCAGGCCCCCACCTCTCCCTGCGCTGCCCCCTCTGTGACCCCGGGGGCTGCCGGGACGTTTCCTGCCCCTCCCCCAACGCCACCTGCCGCCGGACGACCCTGACCACGTGGCGAGGTCAGTGTGAGGTCAGGTGGGGGGCGGGGGGGCGTGGCCACGTGGGAGGGCGTGCCCACGCGGCGGCGCCGCGGTGACGTCACCATGGCCCGCGTTGATTGGTGCTGTCGGGGTTGGGGCGGGGCCAGGCGGGCTCGAGCTGCGGCGGGAGGAGGGGGGCTGTGACGTCAGCGGCCCCCCCGATGTCGTCATCACCTTCCGCTCCCACGGCGAGGTCGTGACCCTGCGCGAGGAGCGGCGCCCCGCCCCCCCCGGCCCCCCGCCGGGGTCACGTGAGTGCGGGGAGGAGGGGTCTCTATGGGGTCTCTATGAGGTCTCTATGGGTCTCTATGGGTCTCTATGGGGTCTCTGTGGGTCTCTATGGGTCTCTATGGGTCTCTATGGGTCTCTATTGGTCTCTATGGGTCTCTATGGGTCTCTATATGTTTCTATGGGTCTCTATGGGTCTCTATGTGTCTCTATGGGTCTCTATGGGTCTCTATTGGTCTCTATGGGTCTCTATATGTCTCTATGTGTCTCTATGGGTCCCTATGGGGTCTCTATGGGTCCCTATGGGGTCTCTATTGGTCTCTATGGGTCTCTATATGTCTCTATGGGGTCTCTATGGGGTCTCTATGGGTCTCTATGGGTCTCTATGTGTCTCTATGGGTCTCTATGGGGTCTCTATGGGTCTCTATGGGTCTCTATGGGTCTCTATGGGTCTCTATGGGTCTCTATGTGTCTCTATGGGTCTCTATGGGTCTGATCCGGGTCCTGTGTTCCCCCCCCAGCGGTCCCGCACCGCCCCCTGCTCTGTGTCAGCTGCGACGGCTCCGACGGCTCCTGCGAGCGCCCCCTGCTGGGGCTGCGCTGCCCCCGCGCGGGGGACGCCTGCGTGGAGCTGAGTGAGGGGGAGGGGCTGAGGGGGGAGGGGCCAAAGGGGGGAGGGGCCAAAGGGGGGAGGAGCCAAAGGGGTAGGGGCTAAAAAGGGGGAGGGGGTAAAAAGGCCAAAGGGGTTAAAGGGGAGAGGGGTTAAAACGGGGAGGAGTCAAAGGGGGGGGAAGGGTTAAAGGGGGAGGGAGTAAAGGGGGGAGGGGATAAAAGGGGGAGGAGTTAAAGTGGGGAGGAGCCAAAGGGGGGAGGGGGATAGGGTGGGAGGGGTTAAAATGGGGGAGCATCCAATGGGGTTGGGGGGTAAAGAAGGGAGGAGCTTAAAGACTGGGGGAGGGGCCAAAGGGGATGGGGGGAGGGGTTACCTGGGGGACTGTGACCCCACGTGACACACACCCCCCTCACGTGATCCCCCGCAGAGGGGGAGGGGCTGCTCCGGGGCTGCGGCAGCGCCGGGCCCTGCCGGGAGCCGCTGGCGCTGGAGACGGGCGGCGGCCGCCAGGTGGCGCTAAAGTGCTGCTGGAGCGACGGCTGCGAGCCCGGTGAGAGCGGGGGCGCTCTAGGGGACTCTATGGTCCCTATGGGACTCTATGGGACTCTATGGTCTCTATGGGACTCTATGGGGCTCTATGGGTCTCTATGGGTCCCAATGAGTCCCTATGGGTCTCTATGGTTCAGAGCCGGACCCGGCCCCATCGGGGCTGCGCTGTTGGGCCTGCGATGGACCCGAGCCCCACGGCTGCACCCCCCAAGTGCTGACGTGTGGGGGCGGGAGGACCCAGTGCGTCACGGCCCAGACCTATGGTGGGTGCATGGGGCTCTATGGGGTCCGTATGGGTCTCTATGGGGTGTCTATGTGGTGTCTATAGGGTGTCTATGGGTCTCTATGGGTCTCTATGGGGCTCTATGTGTCTCTATGGGTCTTTATGGGGTCTCTATGGGTCCCTATGGGTCTCTATGGGGTCTCTATGGGTCTCTATTGGTCTCTATGGGTCTCTATGGGGTCTCTATGGGGTCTCTATGGGTCTCTATGGGGTCTCTATGGGGTCTCTATGGGGTCTCTATGGGTCCCCTTTGTCCCTGCAGGCCCCTCAGGGGAGCCCTGGTTGGTTCTTGGCTGCGCGACCCCCTCCTGGTGCCAGCGCCCCCTGGGCCTGGGGGGGCTGCGGGGGGGGGCCCTGCCCCAGTGCTGCGGGGGGGCCCTGTGCAACAGCGCCCCCTGGAGGAGCGGAGGCTCCGCCGCGGCGCCCCTGCCCCACAGCGGCCTCCTGGTGGGGCTGCTGCTGCTGGCCCCACGGCTGTGAGGGTGTGGGGGGGTATGGGGGGGTATGGGGCTGGACCCCCCCCTTCATTACCCAATAAAGGCTTTGTCCCATTACACTATGGGGTCTCTATGGGTCTCTATGGCGCCCCCGCCGTCCGCCATTTTGTCCCCATCTCCATGGCAACGCTGCCCCCGCTTTCCCCCTCCCTTCACAAAATGGCGGCGCCCACCTCGCCCTCGCTGTCCCTCTCGCCCTTGGCCGCCTCCATGACATCCCCGTCCACCAATGAGCATCGAGCAGAGGCGGTGCCCCGCTGGAATCCACCCAATCACCGCTGGGTTCCGAAGCCACAAGGCGGGACTTCCGGCGCACGCCGGCCGCGGGGGAGGCCCGACCAATCGCCGCGCCGCTCCAGGACGAGGTAGCCAATCAGCGCGCGGGGCGGGGCTTCACCTCAGTGAAGAGGGGGACGGCGCAGAGGCAGCACCAGCGCCGTGCGGCTCCTGCCCCATAAGCGTGGTTCCTGCCCCATAAGCGCCGCTCTGCCCCATAAGCGTGGCGCTGCCCCATAGATCCAGCCCCCTTTAAGGCCGTTATGGGCTCGGTTTTAGCCGCCAGCTCCCCCCCACCGCCGTTGTTACCGGTAACGCCGGGGCCCGGCTATGGGGGGGCTCTGCCCCATGGCGCTGCCCCACGGAGCCCCACGGAGCCTTTCCCCCCCGCGCCCCCGGAGCCGCTTCCCAACCCCGGGGCCTTCGAGGAGTGCCACCGGCGCTGCAAGGGTGAGCGGGGCCCCATTGGGACCCATAGAGCCCCATAGGGAGCCATGGGGGGGAAGCGGGGGCGTGGTGGCGTTATGGGGCAGCCCCATAGGTCGTCATTGCGGGGCATTAGGGTCCATTGGGGTCCATTGTGTCGCTATGGGGCAGCCCCATAGCTCCCCATTGCCCCCCATGCACCGCTGTGGGGCAGCCCCATAGATCCCCCTTGTCTTTCTCTGCCCCATAGATCTGTTTCCGGTGCAGATGGAGGGCGTCAAACTGACCGTGAACAAGGGGCTCAGCAACCACTTCCAGGTCACTTGGGGGGCAGCTATGGGGCAGGGGGGGGGACTCTATGGGGCTGGGAGGTCTATGGGGCTCTATGAGATGTAGGGGATGGGGGGGGTGTATGGGGCTGGGGGTTCTGTGGGTCTCTATGGGGTCTCTATGTGTCCCTATGGGTCTCTATGGGGTCCCTATGCGGTCTCTATGTGTCTCTATGGGTCTCTATGGGTCTCTGTGGGTCTCTATGGGTCTCTATCGGGTCCCTATGTGTCTCTATGGGTCTCTATGGTGTCTCTATGTGTCTCTATGGGTCTCTATGGGGTCCCTATGTGTCTCTATGGGTCTCTATCGGGTCCCTATGTGTCTCTATGGGTCTCTATGGGTCCCTATGTGTCTCTATGGGTCTCTATGGGTCTCTATGGGGTCTCTATGGGTCCCTATGTGTCTCTATGGGGTCTCTATGGGTCTCTATGTGTCTCTATGTGTCTCTATGGGGTCTCTATGGGTCTCTATGTGTCTCTATGTGTCTCTATGGGTCTCTGTGGTCTCCAGGTGAACCACACGGTGGCGCTGAGCACCCTGGGGGACTCCAGTTACCACTTTGGGGCCACCTACGTGGGAACCAAGCAGCTGAGCCCCACTGAGGTGAGGCCGCTGTGGGGCTGCCCCATAGAGCCCCCCCGTGGGGCCCTATGGGTTCTCTATGGGGTCTCTATGGGGTCTCTATGGGGCTCTATGGGGTCTCTATGGGGTCCCAATGGCTCTCTATGGGTCTCTATGGGTCCCTATGGGTCTCTATGTGTCCCTATGGGTCCCTATGTGTCTCTATGGGTCTGTGTGGGTCCAGGCGTTCCCGGTGCTGGTGGGGGCCATGGACAACAGCGGCAGCCTCAATGCCCAGGTCGTTCATCAGCTCTCGGAGCGGCTGCGCTCCAAGGTGGCGCTGCAGGTACCGGCAGAGCATGGGGTAACATGGGGTAACAACATGGGGTAACATGGGCTAACATGGGATAGTGACATGGGGTAACACGGGATAGTGACATGGGGTAACACGGGATAGTGACATGGGGTAACACGGGATAGTGACATGGGGTAACACGGGATAGTGACATGGGGTAACATGGGGTAACATGGGATAACATGGGATAGTGACATGGGGTAACATGGGATGGTAACATGGGGTAACATGGGATAGTAACATGGGGTAACATGGGATGGTAACATGGGGTAACATGGATAACACAGGATAACATGGGATAACGACATGGGATAACATGGGATAGTGACATGGGGTAACACGGGATAGCATGGGATAGTGACATGGGATAACATGGGATAACAACATGGGATGGTAACATGGGATAACAGGGGATAGTGACATGGGATAACATAGGATAACATGGGATAATACGGGATAGTAACATGGGGTAACATGGGATGACATGGGGTAACAACATGGGATAACATGGGGTAACATGGGATAGTAACATGGGGTGACACAGGATAGTAACATGGGGTAACAACATGGGATAACACGGGGTAACAACATGGGATAACACGGGATAACATAGGATAACGTGGGATAATGGGGTAATATGGGGTAATGTGGGGTAACATGAGATAACATGGGATCTATGGAGCACCCCATAGTCTCTATGGGGCACCCCATGGCTCAGTGGGGCACCCCATGGTATATATGGGGCACCCTATAGGCTCAGAGGGGCACCTTATAGGCTCTATGGGGCACCCCATGGTATATGTGGGGCACCCCATAGACTCTATGGGCCCCATGTAGGCTCTATGGGGCGCCCTATAGCCTCTATGGGCCCCCCACGGCTCAATGCCCCCCCAGACCCAGCAGGCCAAGTTCATCAATTGGCAGCTGGACGCCGAGTTCCGGGGCAGCGACTTCACGGCCGCCCTGACCCTGGGGAACCCGGATGTGCTGGTGGGGTCCGGTGAGCGCCCCCTGCTGGCCGGGAGGACTCAGGGGCACCGGCGGGGGGGCAATGGGGACCGGCTATGGGGATGAGTGATGGGGATGGGCTATGGGGGTGGGGATGGGGATGGGTATGGGGATGGGCTATGGGGATGAGTGATGGGGATGGGCTATGGGGATGGGGGGGTATGGGGGTGGTTATGGGGTGGGTATGGGGGGAGTTATGGGGTGGGTATGGGGGGATTATGGGGCGGTTATGGGGTGGGTATGGGGGGATTATGGGGCGGTTATGGGGTGGGTATGGGGCAGGGACCTTCCTTTACATGGCCCCAAATGGGGTGGTTGGGGACAGGGTTACCCCATTACCCCCCATTAACCCCTACTGATCCCCATTTCCCCATTGACCCCCATTGCCCCCATAACCCCCATTGCCCCATTCCCCCCATAACCCCCATTGATCCCATTGACCCCCATTACCCCCATTACCCCAATGACCCCATTGATCCCATTGACCCCATTGCCCCCATTCCCCCCATTACCCCATTGACCCCCATTACCCCATTCCCCCCATTACCCCCATTACCCCCATTGATCCCATTATCCGCCCAGGGATCCTGGTTGCCCATTACCTGCAGAGCGTCACCCCCAGCCTGGCCCTGGGGGGGGAACTCGTTTATCACCGGCGCCCCGGCGAGGAGGGAACCGTCCTGGCCATGGCCGCCCGTTACACAGGTACCTATAGGGACCCCATTGACACCCCATAGAGACCCGTTGGCCCCATTGGGACACCATTGCCCTCATTGACACCCCATTGAGACCCCATTGACCCCATTGAGACCCCATTGACCCCATTGAGACCCCATTGAGACCCATTCACCCCATTGACACCCCATAGAGACCCATTGACCCCATTGAGACCCCATTGAGACCCATAGAGACCCATTGACCCTATTGAGACCCATTGACACCCATAGACCCCATTGACACCCATAGACCCCATTGACCCCCATTTAGCCCCATTGAGCCCCATCACTTCCCCCATTACCCCCGTTTCCCCCCAGTTACCCCATTATGGGGGGGCCACCCCCCCATCAACCAATGGGGACCCCCATAACCCCCCCCCCCATGGCAACGACAGCACCCAATTGGATCGGGACCTTGACCCTGGGCCAGGCCGGGGCCCACGCCACCTATTACCATAGAGCCAATGAGCAGGTAAGGGGGCCTGTGGGGCGATGGGGGGCAATGGGGGGAATGGGGCAGTGGGTGTCAATGGGAGTCAATGGGTGTCAGTGGGGCTTGGGGTCAGTGGGAATCAATGGGTGTCAATGGTATCAATGGGGCGCTGTGTGTGTCAATGGGGGTCAGTGGGTATCAATGGGTGCCAATGGATGTCAGTGGGTGTCAATGGGTATCAATGGGTGTCAATGGGTATCAATGGGTGTCAATGGGTATCAATGGGTGTCAGTGGGTATCAGTGGGTGTCAATGGGTATCAATGGATGTCAATGGGTGTCAATGGGGCCCTATGGGTGTCAATGGGGCCCCATGTGTGGGGCTGACCCCTGCTGTGCCCCCCAGCTCCAGGTGGGGGTGGAGTTCGAGGCCAGCACCCGGCTCCAGGACAGCTCCGTGGCCTTCGGCTACCAGCTGGAGCTGCCCAAGGGCAACCTGGTCTTCAAAGGTGGGCGCTATGGGGTCTCTATGGGGAACTATGGGGTGCTATGGGGCTCTATGGGGTCCCTATGGGTCTCTGTGGAGTACTATGTATCTCTATGTTCTCTCTATGGTCTCTCTATGGTCTCTCTATGGTGTCTCTATGGTGTCTCTATGGTGTCTCTGGTACCCAGAGGCTCTGTGGACAGCAGCTGGGTGGTGTCTATGCTCTCTATGGTGTCTCTATGGTGTCTCTATGGTCTCTCTATGGTCTCTCTCTGTGGTCTCTCTATGGTCTCTATGGTATCTCTATTGGTCTCTATGGTATCTCTATTGGTCTCTATGGTCTCTCTATTGGTCTCTATGGTCTCTCTATTGGTCTCTATGGTCTCTATGGTATCTCTATTGGTCTCTATGGTATCCCTATTGGTCTCTATGGTATCTCTATGCTCTCTATGGTCTCTCTATGGCCCCCATAGGGTCCGTGGACAGCAGCTGGGTGGTGGCTCTATGCTCTCTATGCTCTCTATTGCTCTCTATGGTATCTATTGGTCTCTATGGTCTCTCTATGGTGTCTCTATGGTGTCTCTATGGTCTCTATGGTACCTATAGGCTCCATGGACAGCAGCTGGGTGGTGTCTATGCTCTCTATGGTATCCCTATTGGTCTCTATGGTATCTCTATTGGTCTCTATGGTGTCTCTATGGTGTCTCTATGGTACCTATAGGCTCCGTGGACAGCAGCTGGGTGGTGGCTCCATGCTCTCTATGCTCTCTCTATGGGTCTCTATGGTATCTCTATGGTGTCTCTATGCTCTCTACGGTGTCTCTATGGTGTCTCTATGGTGTCTCTGGTACCCATAGGCTCTGTGGACAGCAGCTGGGTGGTGTCTATGCTCTCTATGGTGTCTCTATGGTCTCTATGGTGTCTCTATGGTGTCTCTATGGTGTCTCTATGGTCTCTATGGTGTCTCTATGGTGTCTCTGGTACCCATAGGCTCTGTGGACAGCAGCTGGGTGGTGGCTCCATGCTCTCTATGGTGTCTCTATGGTGTCTCTGGTACCCATAGGCTCCGTGGACAGCAGCTGGGTGGTGGCGGCGGTGCTGGAGAAGAAGCTGCCCCCGTTGCCGCTGACGCTGGCGCTCGGCGCCGGCCTCAATCACCGCAAGAACAAATTCCACTGCGGCTTCGGCATCACCATCGGATGAGGGACCCCACTGACGGACCCATTGAACCCCATTGAACCCCATTGACTGCCATTGACTGCCATTGACCCCATTGACTGCCATTGACTGCCATTGACTGCCATTGACTGCCCCATTGACTGCCCCATTGACTGCCCCATTGACGGACCCATTGACGGACCCATTGACTGCCCCATTGACTGCCCCATTGACTGCCCCATTGACTGCCATTGACTGCCCCATTGACTGCCCCATTGACGGACCCATTGACAGCGAGTGACTGCCCCATTGACTGCCATTGACTGCCCCATTGACTGCTATTGACTGCCCCATTGACTGCCACTGAACCCCACTGACTGCCCCAGTGACTGCCATTGACTGCCCCATTGACACCCATTGAACCCCATTGACTGCTATTGACTGCCCCATTGACTGCCACTGAACCCCATTGACAGCCACTGAACCCCATTGACCCCCAATGACACCCACTGACTGCCCCATTGAACCCCATTGACACCCATAGACCCCAGTGACACCCACTGACTGCCATTGAACCCCATTGGATCCCATTGACACTCATTGACACCAGTAGACCCCCAGTGACACCCATTGAACCCCATTGACCTCCATTGACTCACATTGACCACCATGGACCTCCTTTGACCACCATTGACCTGCATTGACTGCTGTTGACCCCCATTGACTACCATGGAACCCCCATTGACTCCATTGACCACCATGGACCTCCTTTGACCATCATGGACCTCCATTCACCCCTATTGACAACCGTGGACATCCCTTGACCACCATGGACCTCCCATTGGCCACCAAGGACCCCCCATGGACCACCATTGGATGAGGAGCCCACATTGACCTCCATTGAGCCCCATGGACCCCCACTGATGACGGACCCCCATTGGCCACCATTGGATGAAGAGCCCCCATTGACTTCCATTGATGCCCCCTGGACTGCCATTGGCCACCAGGGACCTCCCATTGGCCACCATTGGATGAGGAGCAGCCATGGACGCCCATGGACCCCCATTGATGAGGGACCCCCGTTGGCCACCAAGGACCTCCTATTGGCCACCATTGGATGAGGAGCCCCCATTGACGCCCCCATGGATTCCCATTGGCCACCAAGGACCTCCCATTGGCCACCATTGGATGAGGAGCCCACATTGACCTCCATTGACCCGCATGGACCCCCATTGATGATGGACCCCTATTGGCCACCATTGAATGAGGAGCCCCCATTGACCTCCATTGAGCGCCATGGACCCCCCCATTGGATGAGGAACCCCTCTAGACCCTTATGGAGCCAATAAAGTGAATGGCCTCAATGGGGGGGTGTCCCCCCCCATAGACCCCAATATGGGGCTGAGACCCCCCCATAGACCCCAATATGGGGGTCAGCCACCCCCATAGACCCTAATATGGGGCTGACACCCCCCCCATAGACCCCAATATGGGGCTGACACCCCCTTATGAACACCAATATGGGGCTGACACCCCCTTATGAACCCCAATATGGGGCTGACACCCCCGCGTAGACCCCAATATGGGGCTGAGACCCCCCTATAGACCCCAATATGGGGGTCAGCTGCCCCCATAGACCCTAATATGGGGCTGACACCCCCCTATGGACCCCAATATGGGGCTGACACCCCCTTATGAACCCCAATATGGGGCTCCTCTACCCTTTGCCCCCCCCACGGCCACGTTGGGGCCTCCCCACCCATAGCGGTCGAAGTCTGAAGTGGGCGGGGCTCTGACGTCATAGGGACGGGGCGGTGCCATCATAAAGGGGGCGTTCCCCCGCCTCCATTTACCTTATATGGAGGGGAAGAAGGGCGGGGTTGACCTTTGAACCCTGCCCCATAGCTCCGCCCCCGACCTCCCCATAGGGGTTATTTAAGGTCACCCCCCCCCCCCCACTTCCGGAGTAGGATCGGAGCCGGAGGGATCCGGATCAGGTGGGGATGGGAAGGGGGTATTATGGGATGTAGGGGGTGTTATGGGATACAGGGGATGGGATATATGATATAGGGGATGGGATATGGGGTATTATGGGATGTGGGTTATGGGGTATGGGGTATTGGGAATGGGATATGGGATGGGGGGTATTATGGGATATAGGGGATGGGTTATTATGGGATATGGGGTATTATGGGATCTGTGATATGGGATATAAGGGATGGGATATTATGGCATGGGGGGTATTATGGGATAGGGGTTATTATGGGATGTGGGCCACCCCCCCTCACTGTCCCCATTGTCCCCACAGGTGCCACCATGAAGCTCTGCCTGGTGCTGGTGGCAGCCACGGTGCTGCTGGGTGAGTGCCCCCCATAGAGACCCCACAGAGCCCCATAGAGCCCCATAGAGACCCCATAGAGACCCCACAGAGCCCCATAGAGACCCATAGAGCCCCATAGAGACCCCACTGAGCCCCAAAGAGACCCATAGAGACCCCACAGAGACCCCATAGAGATCCCATAGAGACCCATAGAGCCCCCACAGAGACCCATAGAGACCCATACAGACCCCATAGAGACTCCATTCCGACCCCATAGAGACCCATAGAGACCCCATAGAGGCCTCATAGAGACCCCATACAGACCCCATAGAGACTCCACAGAGCCCCATAGAGACCCCATACAGACCCATAGAGACCCTATAGATACCCCATAGAGACCCCCCCCCATTGACCTCAACCTCTGCCCCTCACAGGCTGTGGGGCGGAGCCTCCCACCACCACGGCCACACCCCCTCCGACTGAGACCACGCCCGCCCTGTCCAAGGCAACGCCCACCCCATCCAAGGCCACGCCCCCTCCGACCGAGACCACGCCCACCCCGCCCGAAGCCACGCCCCCACCTGGCAGCCTATGGGGGGCCTTGGGGGGGGTGGCGCTGAATGCGACCACCCGGGTGTGGGACAGCCCCATGGTGATGAGGATGAGGTGGGGGGAGACCCCAATGTATGGGGGGCAATGGGGGGGAGACCCCAATGTATGGGGGGCAATGGGGGGGAGACCCCAATGAATGGGGGGCAATGGGGGGGAGACCCCAATGTATGGGGGCAATGGGGGGGAGACCCCAATGTATGGGGGGCAATGGGGAGTAGAGACCCCAATGAATGGGGGGCAATGGGGGGAGAACCCCAATGTATGGGGGCCAATGGGGGGAGAGCCCCATTGGGGGGCAATGGGGAGGGACCCAATGTGTGGGGGGCAATGGGGGGGGAGACCCCAATGTATGGGGGCCAATGGGGGGGAGACCCCAATGTATGGGGGGCAATGGGAGGGGGAATCAATGGACTCCCCTTTGTCGCAGGTGGATGACGTCATCACTGCGCGCCCACCTGGCTGCGGAAGCGCGGGAGGCGCGCGAGAGGGCGGGGCTTTACGCGCGGGAGGCGCGCGCGGCGCTGGCGCAGGGCCTGGCGGAGCTGCGCGCGCGGGGGGCACTCTGCGCAAGGCGCATGCGCAGGAGGTTCCAGCGCGACCGGGAGGAGCTGAGGAGGCGCTGGGAAGGGTGGGGGAAGGCGGTGGCCCGGATGTGGGCGGGGCCTGAGGAGGCGGAAAGTACCCGGATAAGGGAGGGGGAGCAGGAGGAGGGGGAAAGGACCCAGATGTGGGCGGGGCCTGAGGAAGGGGAAAGTACCCGGATGAGGGAGGGGGAGCAGGAGGAGGGGGAAAGGACCCAGATGTGGGCGGGGCCGGAGGAGGGGGAAAGGACCCGGATGAGGGAGGGGGAGCGGGAGGAGGGGGAAAGGACCCAGATGTGGGAGGGCGGGGAGGAGGATTTTGGGGTGGAAAACGGCAAAAACGGGGTTTTTTGGGGTGAAGAGGAGGAAAAAGTGAGGGAGGGGAGGAAAAGGGGAAAATGGGGTGAAAAAGGGGAAAAATGGGGTTTCTGGAATGAAAAATTCCGAAAATGGGGTTTTTTGGGGTGAAAACGGGATTTTGGGGTGAAAAACGGTGAAAATGCGGTTTTGGGCTAAAAAAATCCGAAAACGGGGTTTCTGGGGTGAAAAATGTCGAAAATGGGGGTTTTGGGGTAAAAAACTGTGAAAACAGGGTTTCGGGGGCGGAGGGCATCAAAAATGGAGGTTTTTGGGGTGAAAAATGTCCAAAATGGTGGCGGAGAACAATAAAATGGGGTGAAAAATGTCAAATGTGGGGTTGCTTTGGGGGAAAAACATCAAAGATGGGGGGTTTGGGGTAAAAAATGTCAAATATGGGGGGGTTTGGGGTGAAAAACATCAAAAATCGGGTTTTTTGGAGAGTGAAAAACATAAAAAATTGTGGTTTTTTTAACAATGTAAAAAAGGGGGAGGTTTGGGTGAAAAACGTGAAAATTGGGGTTTTTTGGGTGAAAAACACCAAAAATGGGGTGGAGTTGGTTGAAAAACGATAAGGTTTTTTGGGGGTGAAAAACATTGAAAATGGGGGATTTTGGGTGGAAAACTTCAAAAATGGGTTTTTTGAGTGAAAACCAGAAGAACTTGGGGTTTTTTGGGTGAAAAATGTCAAATATGGGGGTTTTGGGGTGAAAAACCTAAAAAATGGGGTTTCTGGGGTGGAGAACATCAAGAATGGGGGGTTTGGGTGAAAAAGCTTCAAAATGCGGATTTTGGGGTGAAAAACCTTAAAATGTGGAATTTGGGGTGAAAATCATCAAATATGGAGTGGAAATGCTCAAAAATGAGGTTTTGGGGGTAAAAACCTCAAAAATGGGGTTTTGGGGTGGAGAACTATGGGGCTATTTTGGGTGGAAAACCTGGAAAATAGGGGTTTGGAACGAAGAGCCTCAAGAATGCAGGGTTTGGGTGAAAAACCTCCAAAATTGGGGTTTTGGGGGTGAAGAACATCAAAAAAAGGGTTTTTTGGGTGGACAATGTCAAAAATGGGGCTTTTGGGGTGAAAACCACTAAAAACAGGGGTTTTGGGTGGAAATGGCCAAAATCAAGGCCCTGAGCCCCCAAAGTCAGCACCAGGCAGCCCAAAATCCCCCTTTTTCACCCCAAATTCAACCCTGGACCCAAAATCCCTTTTTTTCACACCAAAAGAACCCCAAATGCCCTTTTTTCACCCCAAAACCAGCCTGGGACCCCAAATCCCATTTTTTCACTACAAAACCCCCCCAAATCCCCTTCTTTCACCCCAAAAGCACCCCTAGACCCCAAATCCCTTTTTCTCACCCCAAGGGAACCCAAAATCCCCTTCTTTCACCCCAAAAGCACCAAAAAAATTGCCTTTTTTCACCCCAAAACCACGCAAAAATCCCCCTTTTTCACCTCAAAACACCCAAAAATCCCTTTTTTCACCCCAAAACCACCCAAAATCCCTTTTCCCCCCCCCAAACCCGACCCCTTGGACCCAAAACCCCTGTTTTTCACCCCAAACCCACCCCCTCCCCTCCTCCCCCCTCCCTTTGCCCCGGACTTTGCCCCCTCCCCCCCTCCCCCGGCACCGCCCCCCCCCCGCGCCCATAAAAGGGGGCGCCGCGGGTGGGGGAGGGGCGCGGAGAGCGGTGCGCAGGTGGGGGAGGGGCGGGGGAGAGGGGGGTGGGGGCGAATTTGGGGGTTTGGGGGTGTTTGGGGGCATTTGGGGGGGGTTGGGGGGTTTGGGGCAATTTTGGTGGTTTTGGGGTGTTTCTGGAGGGGTTTTGGGGCGGTTTTGGGGGTTTTGGGGGTGTTTTTGGTGAGCTTTGGGGTGATTGGGGGGATTTTGGGTGTTTCTTGAGGGGGTTTTGGTTGGTTTTGGGGGTTTTTGGGTGTTGGGGGGGTTCGGCTGTTTAAGGGGTGTTTTTGGGTGGTTTTGGGGGGTTTGGGCTATTTTGGGGCTGTTTGGGGGGGTTTGAGGTGGTTTTGGGGGGGTTTCTGCGGTTTTGGATGATTTAGGGTGATTTTAGGTGGGTTTGGGGCTGGTTTTGAGCTCATTTTGGGTGGATTTCAGCTGGTTTGGGGCTGCTTCAGGTGGGTTTGGGCTCTTCTAGGTCCTTTTGAGCTGGGTTTTGGGTGATTTTGGGTGATTTTGAGCTGTTTTGGGGTGGTTTTGGGTGTTTTTTAGCTGTTTTGGGTTGTTTTTTGGTGTTTCTGGGTGGTTTTGAGCTGTTTTGGGGTGTTTTGGGGCTGTTTTGGGGTGGGTTTGGGTGTTTTGGGGGTGGTTTTGGTGTTTTTGAACTGTTTTGGGGTGTTTTGGGGTGGTTTTTGGGTGTTTTTGAGCTGTTTTGGGGTGGTTTTGGTGGTTTTGAGCTGTTTTGGGGTGATTTGGGGTGTTTTTTGGGTGGTTTTGAGCTGTTTTGGGGTGATTTTGGGTGTTTTTGGAGTGGTTTTGAGCTGTTTTGGGGTGATTTGGGGTGGTTTTTGGGTGGTTTTGAGCTGTTTTGGGGTGGTTTTGGTGTTTTTGGTGGTTTTGAGCTGTTTTGGGGTGATTTGGGGCCGTTTCAGGTGTTTCCGGGCTCTCTCCAGGCCTCGCCATGGCCTCGCTGCCCCCCCCCATGGTGGTGGCGTCGCTGCTGCTGCTGCTGAGCTCCAGTGAGGCCCCCCCCATAGAGACCCCATAGGGACCCATAGAGACCCCATAGGGACCCCATAGAGACACATAGAGACCCCATAGAGACCCATAGAGACCCATAGAGACCCCATAGAGACCCCATAGAGACCCATAGAGACACATAGAGACCCCATAGAGACCCATAGAGACCCATAGAGACACATAGAGACCCCATAGAGACCCCATAAGGACCCCATAGAGACCCCATAGAGACCCCATAGAGACCCATAGAGACCCCATAGAGACCCCATAGAGACCCCATAGAGACCCATAGAGACCCCATAGAGACCCATAGAGACCCCATAGACACCCATAGGGACCCCATAGAGACCCCATAGAGACCCATAGAGACCCCATAGAGACCCCATAGAGACCCCATAGGGACCCCATAGAGACCCATAGAGACCCCATAGAGACCCATAGAGACCCATAGAGACCCCATAGAGACCCATAGAGACCCATAGAGACCCATAGAGACCCCATAGAGACCCATAGAGACCCATAGACTCCATTGCTCTGATTTCACTCTCTCCCCCGCTCCCCCTGCAGCCTCCTCCTCTGCCCCTCCCCCCACCCGTCCCCCCCCCTCCCCCCTCCTGCCCCTCCCCCACTTCCGCGAGTACTTGGGCTCCGTGACCGGGAACCTCCTGGAGCACCTGGACCTGCCCCGGACCCACAGCAAGATCCGGTAATGGGGGGGGCTGCCCCATAGCACCCCATAGCGCCCCCTAACCCTGTCCCATGGCATTCATAATGTGGGGCACTGCCCCATAGCAGCCTGTAACTGAATCCTATAGGGCTGGCAATGTGTGGGGCTGCCCCCTACCTGCGTCCTATGGGGCCCCTTCCTATGGGTCTGTGCCATAGCACCCCATAACCATGTCCTATGGGTGCAGAAATGTGTGGGGTTGCCCCATAACCACATCCTATTGGTCTGCCCCATAGTGCCCCATAACAACATCCTATGGGTCTGGGACCATGTGGGGCCGCCCCATAACCCCTTCCTATGGGTCTGCCCCATAACCATGTCCTATGGGGCTGCCCCACAGCGCTGTCTACGAGCAGGGCACGGCGGCCATGCTGACCTACACCGGGATCCTCACGGACCAGCTCTACCATTGGTGGCAGGGGGAGGAGTGACCTCCGCGCCGCCAGGGGGCGCTGTGGGGCAGCCACAACCCCCCCAAATAAAGACCTCGCACCCCATTGGTCCAGCTTCACCAAGGAGGCGGGGTTTATTGATGGGGGCGGGGCCTCTTCACACGAGCTCCCCCTCCGGGGTCACACGGGGGGCAGGGGGCAGCACCTGGAAGGGGCGGGGCAAACGGGTCACGTGGATTCAAGCCTCGCCTTCCCCCTCCACCCCGCCCATCCCTTTAGGCCCCGCCCCCTTTTACCTCCTCGTAGCCCCCCCATTCTTCCTCAGCTTCCCATTGGTCGAGGGCACCTGAGTGGCAGCCAATGGGAGAGTGGCTTGAACGGGGTGGGCGGGGCTTCATTAAGCCCCGCCCCCCCTGTTCCGTACTCACCCACTTCCGGTTCCGGTCCGTAGTCGTTGCTTGTCCCTACCTCGCTTCCTTTCTGCGCCGTCACTTCCGGCACCGCCTCCCGGAAGTGCCGTCGGCGGCAGCACCAGAGCGCCCCCCCCAAGATGGCGGCGAGAGCCGAGCAGGCCAAGGCCGCCAGGGGCCACGTGGGCGGCGGGAGGGCTGATGTGAAACCGGAAGTGGGAAACCGGAAGTGTGAAACCGAAAGTGTTGGAAACCGGAAGTGGGAAACCGGAAGTGTGAAACCGAAAGTGTTGGAAACCGGAAGTGTGAAACCGGAAGTGTGAAACCGGAAGTGAGAAACCGAAAGTGTTGGAAACCGGAAGTGTGAAACCGGAAGTGTGAAACCGAAAGTGTCGGAAACCGGAAGTGTTGGAAACCGGAAGTGTTGGAAACCGGAAGTGTGAAACCGAAAGTGTTGGAAACCGGAAGTGTGAAACCGGAAGTGTGAAACCGAAAGTGTTGGAAACCGGAAGTGTTGGGAACTGGAAGTGTGTGAAGGGTCCCTCACCTGCAGGGGGCGCTGTTGGCCCCGCTCCCTCCTCCGGCCAATCGCGTGGCAGCTCTAGGGGCGGGTGGGGAAATCACGTGAGCGGCGTCACCTCCGGTTTTAACCCCGCTCACTTCCGGTCCCTTTCCCGCCTGCCTTACCGGAAGTGATGCCCCGGATGACGGTGGGGGCGCTGTCGCCGCGGGCGTTGCGCGCGCGCACGGTGACGTCATAGGGCGTGGCCGGGCGCAGCCCCGTCAGCGTGTGGGAGGAGGCCGAGGTGATGACGTAGGAGGGAGGGGGCGGGGCCCCGGGCACCCGCGCGCTGGTGGGGGGGGGAAAGGGGAGAACTGATGGGTACCTATGGGGCTCTATGGGATCTCTGTGGGGTCTCTATGGGTCTCTATGGGTCTCTATGGGATCTCTGTGTGTCTCTATGGGGTCTCTATGGGGCTCTATGGGTCTGTACGGTGTGTCTATGGGTCTCTATGTGGTCTCTGTGAATCTCTATAGGGTCTCTATGGGGATCTATGGGGCCTGTATGGGTCTCTATGTATGTCTATAGGGTCCCTATGGATCTCTGTAGGGTCTCTATGGAGCTCTATAGGTTCTCTATGGGGTCTCTATGAGTCTCTGTAGGGTCTCTATGGGTCTCTATGGGTCTCTATGTCTCTCTATGGGGACTCTATGGGTCTCTGTGGGGTCTCTATGGGTCTCTATGGGTCTCTGTGGGGTCTCTATGGGTCCCTATGTGTCTCTATGGGTTCTCTATGGGTTCTCTATGGGTCTCTATGGGTCTCTATGGGTCTCTATGTGTCTCTATGGGTCTCTATGTGTCTCTATGGGTCTCTATGGGTCTCTATGGGTCTCTATGGGTCTCTATGTGTCTCTATGGGTCTCTATGTGTCTCTATGGGTCTCTATGGGTCTCTATGGGTCCCTCTGTCTCTCTCTGGGGTCTTTCTGGGTCCCACCTGATCAGGAAGCTTTGGGCGCTGCCCCCATTGAAGCCGGGGCTCCAGGAGATCCGCAGGGAGCTGGGGGTGGCCCCAGAGACGCGCAGGGAGTGGGGGGGGTCCGGGCGGTCTGGGGGGGCAGTGGGGAGCAGGACGGCCCAGTTAGAACCAGTTAAAACCAGTATGGGCCAGTTAGAACCAGTATGGAGCAGTTAGAACCAGTATGGAGCTGTACAGATCAGTGTGGACATGGAGCAGGTAGAACCAGTGTGGAGTGGTTAGACCAGTTGGAACCAGTATGGAGCAGTTAGAACCAGTATTTGCCAGTTAGAACCAGTATGGATCAGTGTAGATCGGTATAGACATGGAGCAGGTAGAACCAGTAAAGACCAGTTTGGACCAGGATGTATTAGCACAGACTGGTATGGACCAGTATGAAACATATGGACCAGTACAAACCAGTATGGGCTGGTATCCCAGTCCATCCCATCCCCATCCCATCCCCATCCCCATCCCATCCCCATCCGAGTACCTGCCAGCCGCAGCCGGAAGCGCCTCCGCACCGTTCCCAGTTCATTCCGTGCCACGCACTCCAGCATTCCCAGTGTCCCGTTCCCATCCCAGCCCTGCTCCCAGTTCAGGTACTGGGATGGGGCCAGGTGCCGGGACTGGGAGCGCAGGCGGGCCCGATCCTGGCTGATGTTGGCCACGGTCAGGAGGCCCCGGGTCCAGGGGGGGTCCGACCATTGGAGCTGCTGGAACCTGGTGGGGATGGGAATGGGATGGGAATGGGATGGGATTGGGAATGGGTACCATTGGGTGCCATAGGGTGCCATTGGGTCCATAGGGTGCCATAGGGTGCCATTGGTTGCCATAGGGTGCCATTGGGTACCTGCTGTCCATGGTGCTGATGGGGCGGCCGCCCTGCACCCAGTGCAGCTCCACGGGGGGCACCCCCCGCGCCCGGCACCCAAGGGCCACGGCATCGGCTCCATCCGGAACCAGCACCGGGATCGGCTCCGGCTCCGGCACCGCCTCCAGCTCCGGCCCATCTGGGAATGGGGTGGGAATGGGGTGGGAATGGGATGGGATGGGGATGGGATGGGGATGGGGATGGGATGGGGATGGGATGGGGTGGGATGGGATGGGGATGGGATGGGGATGGGATGGGGATGGGATGGGATGGGGATGGGATGGGATGGGGATGGGATGGGGATGGGGATGGGATGGGGATGGGATGGGATGGGGATGGGATGGGGATGGGGATGGGATGGGGATGGGATGGGATGGGATGGGGATGGGAGGGGGATGGGATGGGGATGGGATGGGGATGGGATGGGATGGGATGGGATGGGATGGGGACCCCCATTGTGTGCCCCCCCTCCATTGATGACCCCATTGGTTGACCCCTATTGGGTGCTCTCCATTGATGCCCCCCATTGATCACCCCCCATTGGCTGCCCGCCCTCCACTGACAACCCCCATTGGGTGCCCCCCCCCCATTGCTCCCCCCCCCATTGGCCGCCCCTCCCTTAGCCCCGCCCCACTCACAGCGAATCAGGAGGCGGATGACGGCGCGCGCAGGGGGCGGGATCCCCGTGTCCACGTGACACTCGTAGGCCCCGCCCATGTCCCGACGGGCGCCCGAGACCCGGAGCCGCCCCACGGGGACGCCCCCGAGCGCCTCCAGCCCCATAGGGAGCCCCATGGGGCCCGGAGACAGCGCCCCCTGGTGGCGGGGAGGAATGAGGGCATGGGATGCTCCCATTGGATCCCATTGGGATCCGTACCCCACACCCCACATCCCATAATAAGCCCCATCCCACCAGGCGCTGCCAGCGGAGACTCCCGTCCAGCAGGGGGCGCCCTTCGGCCTCGCACTCCATCTCTATGGTCCCGCCTTCGTCCACCACCACCGGGTCGGGCGCCCGCACGATGGAGGGGGGGTCTGGGGGGGGTCAAAGGTCAAGGGGTTATATAGGGTGTTATAGGGGTGCTATAGGGGTACTATAGGGTGCTATAGGGTGCTATAGGGTGTTATGGGGTGCTATAGAGGTGCTATAGGGTGTTATAGGGTGCTATAAGGGTGCTATAGGGTGTTACAGTGTGCTATAGGGTGCTACAGGGGTGCTATAGGGATGCTGTAGGGTGTTATAGGGTGCTATAGGGTGCTATAAGGGTGCTATAGGGGTGCTACAGGGATGTTACCGGGTGTTATAGGAATGCTATAGGGATGCTATCGGGTGTTATAGGGGTGCTATAGGGTGTCACAGGGATGCTATAGGGGTGCTATAGGGTGTTATACGTGCTATAGGGGTCCTATAGGGTGTTACAGGGATGCTACAGGGTGTTTTAGGCTGCTATAGGATGCCATAGGGTGCCATAGGGATGCTATAGGGATGCTATAGGGCCCCATAGGTTGCTATGGGATGCTATAGGATGTCATAGGGATGCTATAGGATGTCATAGGGATGCTATGGGGTGCCATAGGGATGCCATAGGAAGCTCTGGGGCTCCATAGGGATGCAGTAGGGTGCCATAGGGATGCAGTAGGTATGCCATAGGGATGCAGTAGGGATGCAGTAGGTATGCCATAGGGATGCTATAGGGTGCCATAGGGATGCCATAGGGTGCCATAGGGATGCTATAGGGTGCCATAGGGATGCTATGGGGCGCCATAGGGTGCCATAGGATGCCATAGGGTGCCATAGGATGCCATAGGGATGCCATAGGGATGCCATAGGGTGCCATAGGGCGCTGTGGGGCTCCAGAGGCCCCCGTGGGGCTCACAGTGGACGTCGAGGCGGACGCTGGCGCTGCCCTTGCCCTCGGCGTTCCCGCACTGCACCCGGTAGAGGCCGGCGTCGCTCCGGGACAGGTTCCCGATGGCCAGGGAGCCCCCCGGCAGCAGCCGGTGCCGCGGCGACGGGGCTGGGGGCGCCCGGGAGCCCATAGACACCCGTTGGAGCCCATAGAGACCCGTTGGAGCCCATAGACACCCGTTGGAGCCCATAGACACCCGTTGGAGCCCATAGACACCCGTTGGAGCCTATAGAGACCCGTTGGAGCCCATAGAGACCCATTGGAGCCCATAGACACCCGTTGGAGCCCATTGAAACCCATTCAATCCCGTTATACCCCGTTGGTTCCCATTATGTCCCATTACAACCCATTATAACCCCATTATACCCCATTATAACCCCATTGGACCGCATCATAACCCATTATAACCCCATTATAACCCATTATAACCCCATTATAACCCATTACAACCCATTACATCCTATTATACCCCATTATAGACCCATTATACCCCATTATAACCCCATTATATCCCATTATAAGCCATTACATCCCATTATCCCCATTATATCCCGTTATACACTATTATAAACCATTATCCCCCATTATAACCCCATTATACACCCTTATACCCCATTATGACCCTATTATCCCCATTACACCCCATTATCCCCCATTATACCCCATTACAACCACATTATAACCCCATTACATCCCAAAATATCCCATAATATCATGTTATACCCCGTTATACCCCATTATAACCCCATTATAACCACATTAGACCCCATTATCCCCCATTAGACCCCATTATTTCCCATTATCCCCCATTATAACCCCATTAACTCCCATTATAACGACATTACACCCCATTATACTCTATTATCCCCCATTCCATCCCATAATACCCCGTTCCACCCCATAATACCCCATTCCATCCCATAATACCCCATTCCACCCCATAATACCCCATTCCACCCCATAATACCCCATTCCATCCCATAATACCCCATTCCATCCCTGGCCGCACCCAGGCGGGCCCCGTCCCGGCTCCAGGCGCACTCGCGCAGGGGGGGGTGCGCGTCTCCTAGCAACGGCAGCACGGCGCCGCTGTTCTCGAGAGCCAGCACCCGCCCGCCGGGGGGGGAGCGCAGCAGCGGCGGGTCTGGGGGGGGAGCCATTGAGAGACATTGATACCCATTGATACTCATTGATATCCATTGATACCCATTGATAACCATTGATACCCATTGATAACCATTGATAACCACTGATACCCATTGATAACCACTGATAACCATTGAAACCCATTGATACCCATTGATAACCATTTATAACCATTGATATCCATTGATACCCATTGATAACCATTGATACCCATTGATACCCATTGATACCCACTGATACCCATTGATAACCATTGAAACCCATTGATACCCATTGATAACCATTGAAACCCATTGACCCCCACTGATATCCATTGCCCCCCATTGCCCCCCATTGCCCCCCATTGCCCCCCATTGACCCCCTTGCCCCCACTCACGCCTCACGCTCAGTCTGTGCCCCGCCCTCACGGTCACCCCCAGGGCGGGGCTGGCGGCCGCGCAGGTGATCACGTGACCCTGGTCCTGCAGCGCCACCTGCAGGCGGAGCCGGGAGGCCACCGAGACCCCCCCGTGGGGGGCGGGGCTGGGGGGGAGCGGCTCCCCCGGCTCCCTGCCATAGGGATCAATGGGGTGCAATGGGGGCCATGGGGGGGCTATGGGGTCTATGGGGGGCTATGGGGTCTATGGGGAGCTATGGGGGTCAATGGGGTGTCAATGGGGGGCTATGGGGGCTATGGGGGTCTATGGGGGTCTATGGGGGTCTATGGGGTCTATGGGGGTCTATGGGGCACCCACGTGCGTCCATGCAGGTGCCAGGTGAGGGTGGGGGCGGGGTGGCTGCTCCCGGTGACGCAGGTCAGCTGCAGGCGCTGGCCCAGGCGGGGCTCCCGGGGGGAGGCGCTGATGGAGACCGACTGGGGGGGGACTGCGACCATAGAGACCATAGAGACCATAGAGACCATAGAGAGACCATAGAGACCATAGAGACCATAGAGAGACCATAGAGACCATAGAGAGACCATAGAGACCATAGAGACCATAGAGAGACCATAGAGACCATAGAGACCCATAGAGAGACCATAGAGACCCATAGAGACCATAGAGAGACCATAGAGACCATAGAGAGACCATAGAGAGACCATAGAGACCCATAGAGAGACCATAGAGACCCATAGAGACCCATAGAGAGACCATAGAGACCCATAGAGACCATAGAGAGACCATAGAGACCATAGAGAGACCATAGAGAGACCATAGAGACCATAGAGAGACCATAGAGAGACCATAGAGACCATAGAGAGACCATAGAGACCCATAGAGAGACCATAGAGACCCATAGAGACCCATAGAGAGACCATAGAGACCCATAGACCCCCATAGACCCCCATAGAGCCCCCATAGACCATAGAGACGGGCGCGGGTGCTCACAGAGGACCCGCAGGCGGGTGCTGGCGCGGGGCGCCCCCTGCTGGTGGGCGGTGTCCCCGCAGGTGAAGGCGGCGCCGTTGTCCCCAGGGCTCAGCTTCAGCTCCAGGTCCCGCCCCCAGCCTGGGAGGGGCTCCTGCAGGGCCCGCCCCTCCTGTGGGCGCCAATGGGGACCAATAGGAGCCATAGGAACCCATAGAGACCCATAGGGACCCATAGAGAACCCATAGAGAACCATAGGGACCTCTAGGGATCAATAGGGACCCATAGGGACCCAGTCCATCCCAGTCCATCCCAGTGGCTCCCACCTTGCTCCAGACGAGGCGGGGAGGGGGGTGCCCCCCCCGCGCGTAGCAGCCGAGCCTCACGAGCGCCCCCACCCGGAAGGAGGCGTTGGGGGGCGGGGCCTCGATCCACAGCGAATCAGGGGGGTCTGGGGGGGGCAAGGGGGGCCCATTGAGCCCATTGACCTAATTGAGCCCATTGACCCCATTGACCCTCATTGACGCCCATTGACCCCATTGACACCCGTTGAGCCCCATTGACCCCATTGACCCCCATTGGCCCCCATTGACCCCCATTGACCCCCATTGCCCCCCATTGGCTCACGGGTGATGCTCAGAACGAGGCTGGCCCTGGCCACGCCCACTCCCGCCGCCGCCGCCTCGCACACCAGGGGGCGCCCGTGCTCGCTGCGCCGCGCCACAAGGGTCAGGTTCGATGACGTCACCGTGCCCCCCCCGGGGGCCTGGGGGGAATGGGGGGGTCATTGACCCCCATAGAGCCCCATTGACCCCCATAGAACCCCATTGACCCTCCTTGATTCCCATAGACCCCATTGACCCTCCTTGACCCCCATTGACCCCAATGACCCCCATAGACCCCCATAGATGCCCCAAAGACCCCCATTGAGCTCCAAAACCCCTCCCATTGACCTCCATTGACCCCGCCCATAGACTCTCCCATGGGCCTCTTTAGCCTCCCCCATAGAACCCCATAGCCCCCCCATAGAACCCCATAGCCCCCCCGTAGATCCCCATAGCCGCCCCCTATAACCCCATAGCCCCCCATAGCCCCCATAGACCCCCATAGCCCCCCCATAGACCCCCCATAGACCCCCATAGCCCCCCATAGCCCCCATAGACCCCCATAGCCCCCCATAGTCCTCCCCGCCAGCAGGGGGCGCACCGGCGCGGTGCTGCTCTCGCTAGGCCGCAGCTGGCGGCCGCCCAGCCACCAGTGCAGGCGCGCGGGGGGGTTGCTGGGGCCGCTGGCGCACGTCAGGGTCAGGGACTCGTTCTCGGCCCCCCCCCGCGGCCCCGAGAGCGTCACCTCCGAAGGGGGGTCTGCGAGCCATTGGCAACCATGGGGAGCCATTGGGAGCCATTGACACCCATTGGGAGCCATTGACCCCCATTGGGAGCCATTGACACCCATGGGGAGCCATTGACACCCATGGGGAGCCATTGACAACCATTGGGAGCCATTGACACCCATGGGGAGCCATTGACACCCAGGGGGAGCCATTGACAACCATGGGGAGCCATTGGGAGCCATTGACACCCATTGGGAGCCATTGAGTCCCATTGGGAGCCATTGACACCCATTGGGAGCCATTGGGAGCCATTGAGACCCATTGACCCCCATTGACACCCATTGATACCCTTTGACACCCCTTGACCCCCATTGACCCCATTGCCCCCATTACCCCCATTGACCCCCATTACCACCCATTGTCCCCCATTACCCCCATTGCCCCACTTACCCCCATTGATCTCCATTACCCCCCATTGCCCCCATTATCCGTATTACCCCACATTGCACCCATTGCCTCCCATTACCACCCATTCCCCCCATTACCACCCATTGCCCCCCATTCCCCCATTGATCCCCATTACCCCCATTGTCCCCCATCACCCCCCATTATCCCCATTACCCCCATTGATCCCCATTCCCCCCATTACCCCCATTGCCCCCAATTGGCTCACAGGTCACGTGCAGGGTGACGCTGGCGCTCCCCCCGGCCGCCAGGGGGCGCTGTGTCTGCACACGGCACCGCAGGGTGGCGCCGTCGTCCCCGCGGGTCACGGCCACCGCCAGGGGGCTCCGCGTCACCGCCAGGGGGCGCTGCGTCACCCAGGGAGCCGCCAGTGGCCTCCCGTCCTGCAGGGGGCGCCAACGCGCTTGGACTCCCATTGACTCCATTGACTCCATTGACTCCATTGATCTCCATTGACCCCATTGGCTCCCATTGACTCCATTGACCCCCATTGACACCCATTGACTCCATTGCCCCATTACCTATTAACCTATTACCCCCCATTGCCCCCATTACCCCCAATGCCCCCATTGCCCCCATTACCCCCATTGTCCCCACTGCCCCCATTACCCCATTGCCCCCATTGCCCCCATTGCCCCCATTGCCCCATTCCCCCCATTCCCCCCATTCCCCCCATTCCCCCCATTGCCTCATTGCCCCCATTACCCCCATTGCCCCCCATTACCTTGTCCCAATGGAGGCTGGGGGGAGGGTTCCCCCCCCGCACGATGCACACGAGCTCCAGTTTGTCCCCTGCCCGCACGTGGGGCGAATCCAGGCCCTCAATGGTGGGGGGGCCCGGTGGGACTGGGAGCAATGGGTTAGAATGGGGGGTCTATGGGGTCAATGGGGTTCTATGGGATCAATGGGGGTTCTATGGGGCAATGGGGGTCTATGGGGTCAATGGGGGGTCTATGGGGTCAATGGGGGGTCTATGGGGTCAATGGGGGCTCATGGGTCAATGGGGTGACTGGGTCAATGGGGGTCTATGGGGTCAATGGGGGCCTCTTCTATGGGGTCAATGGGGTCCTCTTCTATGGGGTCAATGGGGGCCTCTTCTATGGGGTCAATGGGGGCCTCTTCTATGGGGTCAATGGGGGTCTATGGGGTCAATGGGGGTCTATGGGGTCAATGGGGTCCTCTTCTATGGGGTCAATGGGGGTCTATGGGGTCAATGGGGGGTCTATGGGGTCAATGGGAGTCTATGGGGGTCAATGGAGGTCTATGGGGTCAGTGGGGGTCTATGGGGTCAATGGGAGTCTATGGGATCAATGGGACTCTATGGGGTCAATGGGGCTCTATGGGGTCAATGGGGCTCTATGGGGTCAATGGGGCTCTATGGGGTCAATGGGGGTCTATGGGGTCAATGGGGGTCTATGGGTGTCAATGGGGGTCTATGGGGGTCAATGGGGGTCTATGGAGGTCTATGGGGTCAATGGGAGTCTATGGGTCAGTGGGGGTCTATGGGGTCAATGGGGGGTCTATGGGGTCAGTGGGGGTCTATGGGGGTCAATGGGGGGTCTATGGGGTCAATGGGGGTCTATGGGGTCAATGGGGGGTCTATGGGGTCAGTGGGGGTCTATGGGGTCAGTGGGGGTCTATGGGGTCAATGGGGGGTCTATGGGGTCAATGGGGGTCTATGGGGTCAATGGGGGGTCTATGGGGTCAATGGGGGTCTATGGGGTCAATGGGGGGTGCTGGGCGCTCACAGAGCACATCCAGGGTGAGCGCGGCCTCGGTCGGGGCGGCCCCGGCCTCATTGGAGGCGGCGCAGAGCAGGCGCTGTCCATGGTGCTGGCGCTGCGGGGTCAGCCTGGGGACAATGGGGGCAATGGGGGTCAATGGGGTCATTGGGAGTCAATGGGGGTGAATGGGGGGGGCAATGGGGGTCAATGGGGGTCAATGGGGGGCAATGGGGGTCAATGGGGGGTAATGGGGGTCAATGGAGTCAATGGAGTCAATGGTGGTCAATGGGAGTCAATGGAGTCAATGGGGGCCAATGGGAGTCAAGGGATTCAATGGGATTCAGTGGGCCCCAATGGGTCTCAATGGGCCACGCTGGTCCATACTGGTCCATACTGGTCTATACTGGTCTATACTGGTCTACACTGGTCTATACTGGTCTAGGGGGCGCTCACCTGACGGTGACCTCGGCGCTGCTCAGTTTCGGGTGGGAGCCCTCAAAGACTCGAGAGGAGGCTTCGGGCAGCGGCACCCCCCCTGTGCCAAAACGGCCCAAATCAGCCCAAAATAGCCCCAAACCACCCCAAATCACCCCTAAAACACCCCAAAGCACCCAAAATTACCTCAAAACACCCAAAATTACCTCAAAACACCCCAAATGACCTCAAAACACACAAAAAACACCCAAAAATCACCCCAAACCACCCCATATCCTTAAAATCAAACCAAAATGACCCAAAATACCAAAAAATGCCCCCACTTCCCCAATTCCCCCTCGTATGACCCAAAATCCTCCCATTTCCCCCCCAAATTAAGGCAATTCCTCCTCCAGTGATGCAAAATGAGCCCTAATACCATCAATGGGACCCCAAATGATGCTAAATACCCCAAAATGCCCCCAAAATGACCCAAAATGACCCCAACCCCAAAATGACTCAAAACGATGCCAAATGACCCCAAATGACCCCAAATGACCCCAATCCCGCACCCCCCCCCCCGCGGTGACGTCACCGAGGGTGAGAACGAGGCGCGGGGCGGGGCGTGCGTCGTGGGCGTGGCAGCTCACGTGCACCTCGGCCCCGCCCACCCACGGCAGCTCCTCCCCCGGCGGCAGCTCCAGCGCCGGCGGCCCCGGGGGCACTGGGGGGGGGCGAGGGAGACCCCTATAGAGATCCTATAGAGATTCTATAGAGCCCCTATAGAGCCCTTATAGAACCCCTATAGAGCCCTTATAGAGCCCCTATATAGCCCCTATAGGCGCCGTCCCATCCCCATCCCCATCCTATCCCCATCCCATTCATTCCCATTCATTCCCATTCCCATCCCTATCCCCATTCTCATTCCCATCCCCATTCATCCCCATTCCCATTCCCATTCATTCCCATTCCCATCCCCATTCCCATCCTATCCCCATCCCATTCCCATTCCCATCCCCATTCCCATCTCTTTCATTCCCATTCATTCCGATCCCATCCCATTCCCATTCATTCCCATTCCCATCCCATCCCCATCCTATTCCCATTCCAATTCTGATCCCCATTCCCATTCCCATTCATTCCCATCCCCATTCCCATCCTACCCAATTCCCATTCCCATTCATTCCCGTCCCCATTACCGTTCCCATTCATCCCCATCCCCATCCCATCTAATTCCCATTCCCATTCATTCCCATTCATTCCCATTCATCCCCATTCATCCCCATTCACTCCGTACCCATCACCCTGAGCCGGGCGCTCCGGGACGCGCGGGGGGGGCCGGTCCCGTTCCCCCCCCCGGCCTGGCACTCGAAGGCGGCGTCATCCTCAAGCTCCACCCCCTTGATCCGGAGGTGGTACTGCCCTGCGTGGCCACGCCCCCTTCAAACCACGCCCTCTCCCCCTAAACCACGCCCCCTCCTCCCCTTTAAGCCCCTCCCACCTCGTTGCGGATCCCCAGCCAATCGGTAGCGCGGGTGGGCGGCGGTGGGCGGGGCCCCGAGGAGGAGCCCGTCCCGCGCCCACTGCGCGACCACGCCCCCGCGCACGACGCAGCGGAGCTCCGCCTCCCCGCCCAGCACCACGCTCCCATTGGTCGGCTCCTCCACGAAGGGCGTGGCCGACGCTGACAGAAGGAAGGAGGCGGGGCTTAGGGAGGCTCCGCCCACTATGGGGGGGGGCACACCCCACATGGGATCGCTTACCTGTTACCCCGGCAACCAGCAGAGCCAATAGCGCCTCCTCCAAAGGGGTCAAAAGGTCATGGGGGGCACGACCCCAATTGCCCCCCCCCCGTGGGCACCCATTTACCCCCCCCAATTGCCTCCATAGGACAACAATTACCCCCATAGGACCCCATTTACCCCCCCCAATTGGCCCCATAGGCCCCCATTTACCCCCCTAGACCCCCATTTACCCCCCCATCACCCCCATAGCCCCCCATTTACCCCCATAGGCCCCCATTTACACCCCCAATTACCCCCATAGTCCACCATTTACCCCCCTTGGCCCTCATTTACCCCCATAGACCCTCATTAACCCCCCAATTACCCCCATAGGCCCTTATTTACACCCCATAGGCCCCCATAGGCCCCTATTTACACCCCATAGGCCCCCATAGGCCCCCCATAGGACCCCATTTACACCCCATAGGCCCCCATTTACACCCCTAGACCCCCATTTACCCTCCCAATTACCCCCATAGACCCTCATTAACCCACCAATTACCCCCATAGGCCCTTATTTACCCCCATAAGCCCCCATTTACCCGCCATTGCCCCCCCCGTTATTTGCCCCCCCCGTCCGACCCCCACCATGGTTGGATCCCATCTGGGGGGGCCCCCACCCCAGCGCTGGGTTCCCAATGGCAGGGGCGGGGCTAAGGGTGGCCCCGTCCCCCAGAAGGGCGCTGATTGGCTGCTGAGGAATGCACGGAATGCGGGGGGGGACGGGGATAGGGATGGATGGGGGGGCCCCTATGGGGCACAGGGGCCATAAAGAGCCCTATAGGGACCCATAGCACCCCCATAGGGACCCATAGCATCCTCTACGGGACACACAGCATCCCCATAGGGACCCATAGCATCCTCTATGCGACCCATAGCACCCTCATAGGGACCCCAGCCCCCCCATAGTCCTCCTTATGCACTCCATAGGGTCCCCAAACCCCCCCATAGGGATCCACAGCACCTCCATAGGGACCCATTACCCCCCCATAAGGAGCAATCACATTCTATAGGGCCCCCATTAGCCCCTATTGTCCCCCATTACCCCCTATGGAGCCCCCATTACCCCCTCTAGGACCCCATTACTGCCTATAGGACCCCCATCACCCCCTATAGGACCCCATTACCCCCTATAGGTCCCCCATCACCCCCTATAGGACCCCATTACCCCCTATTGGACTCCCATCACCCCCTATAGGACCCCCATCACCCCCTATAGGGCCCCCATTACCCCTATAGGATCCCCATTACTCCCTATAAGACCCCATTACTGCCTATAGGACCCCCATTATCCCCTATAGGGCCCCCATTACCCCTATAGGACCCCCATTACCCCCTATAGGACCCCCATCACCCCTTATAGGACCCCATTACCGCCTATAGGACCCCCATCACCCCCCATAGGACCCCATTACCTCTATAGGACCCCCATTATCCCCTATAGTGCCCCCATCCCCCCTTCCCATAACCCCCTTGGCCGCAACGCCCCATGGGACTCGTAGTCCAGCACCCCCCCTGTATCCCATGACACCCCGCGCGCCTCCACCCCTCCCATCCCACCGCGATTGGCCGCTCCCCTTTCCCTCCCAGCCTGGCTCCGCCTATCAGCGCCGCCCGCTCCCTTTTAGCCACGCCCCCCCGGCTCTGCCTTCCCCTCAGAGCGCCAAGATGGCGGCGGGCGGCGGAGCCTCCGCGGGGCCGGGGCCTGCTCCGGGCCGAGGCCGCTTCCCCGCGCGGCCTCCGCGGGGCCCGGCCCGGCCGCCCCCGGCCCCCAGGGCCCGGACCCCGCTCCTGGCCCCGCCGGGCCCCGCTGCAGGCCCCGACCCGACCCTTGCGGCCTTGTTGGGCCTGGCCGGGGGCCTCCGGCGCCTGCGGGCCCTGCTCGGGGCCTCCGGGGGAGGAGGAGAAGGAGAAGGAGGAGGAGGAGGAAAGAGGAGGAAGACGGTGAGGAAAGGGGGGGGAATGGGGGTGGTTGTGGGGCAGTAGGGGTGGTTGTGGGGCAATGGGGGCAGATATGGGGCAATGGGGGTGGTTATGGGGCAGTGGGGCTGTTTGTGGGGCAATAGGGCTGGTTGTGGGGTAATGGGGGTGGTTGTGGGGTAATGGGGGCAGATAGGGGACAATGGGGGAGGCTATGGGGCAATGGGGGAGGCTATGGGGCAATGGGGGTGGTTGTCTGGGGGGCAATTATGGGTCAATGGGGGGCAGTTGTGAGGCAATGGTTGCGGTCATGGGGCAATGGCGGCGGTTCCGGGGCAGTTGTGAGTCAATGGGGGCAGATATGTGGCACTTGTGAGGCAATGGGGGCAGTTGTGGTTCAATAGGGGGCAGTTATGGGGCCGTTAGGGGTCAGTGGGGCAGTTATGGGGCAATGGGGGCAGTTGTGGAGCAGTTATGGGGCAGTGGGGCAGTGGTGGATCACTTGTGCGGCAATGGGAGAAAATTATGGGGCAATGGGGGGCAATTATGTGGCCCTATGACCCCCCTCTCCATCCCTCCGTCCCCCCCACCAGGGGGCGTGGCCTGTTGGGGGGGTCGGGGGCGTGTCCCCTGGGCGTGGCTGACGCTGCTCTCCACCAATAGGAGGAGTTCCTGGGCTTCCCCGCCGATGACATCACCCCCCCGCGCCGCCCCCCCCGCCGCTCCCTGCGAGGTCAGTGCCGGCCCCGCCCCTTTAAGCCCCGCCCCTCCTCCCTTTAAGCCCCTCCCCCTCTCACTTCTCCCTCCCTTTCCCCCCCCACAGGCACCCACGGGGCTCCCCCTCCCCCCTCCTCCTCCCCCCTCCCCCCCTCTCCCTCCCCCTCCCCCTCCCTCCCCAAGCGGGGGGGGCGTGGCCGGAGGAGGGGGAGGGGCGGTGGCGGTGGGGTGGGGGCGGGGCGAGGGGGGGCGGGGCTTAGGAGCCTGCGCCAGTTCCGGGGGCCCCTGGTGAGCGCCCGCTCGGCCCGGACCATCCGAATCCCGCGGCGCTTTGCACCCATTGGTGCTGATGGGGGGGGGACCCCGACACCCGTGGGTGCTGGTGGGGGAGGGACTGGGGCACCCATGGGTGCTGATGGGGGGGAGACCCTGACACCCATGGGTGCTGATGGGGGAGGGACTGGGGCACCCATGGGTGCTGATGGGGGGGAGGTGGGGGCACCCATGGGTGCTGATGGAGGGGACACCGGGGCACCCATGGGTGCTGATGGGGGGCAGACCCTGACACCCATGGGTGCTGATGGGAGAGAGGCCTTGCTACCCATGGGTGCTGATGGGAGAGAGGCCTTGGTACCCATGGGTGCTGATGGGAGAGAGGCCTTGGTACCCATGGGTGCTGATGGGGGGGAGACTGGGGCACCCATGGGTGCTGATGGGGGAGAGGCCTTGGTACCCATGGGTGCTGATGGGGGGGACGAGACCCCGGCACCCATGGGTGCTGATGGGGGAGAGCTTGGGGCATCCATGGGTGCTGATGGGGGGGAGACTGGGGCACCAATGGGTCTTGATGGGAGAGAGCTTGGGGCATCCATGGGTGCTGATGGGGGGGAGACTGGGGCACCAATGGGTCTTGATGGGAGAGAGCTCAGGGCACCCATGCGTGCTGGTGGGGGGCAGACAACAGCACCCATGGGTGCTGATGAGAAGGAACCCTTGGCACCCATGGGTGCTGATGGAGAGGAGAGCGTGACACCCATGGGTGCTGATGGGAGAGAGCTGGGGGCACCCATGGGTGCTGATGAGGAGGGCACCATGACATCCATGGGTGCTGATGGAGGAGATACTGTGACACCCATGGGTGCTGATGAAGAAGAGGCCTTGGCACCCATGGGCACTGATGAGAAGGAGATCCCAGCACCCATGGGTGCTGCTGCGGGATACACAACAGCACCCATGGGTGACGTTGGAAGGGGGAGCCCAGCACCCATGGGGGACGCTTTGCTACCTGTAAATGATCCCCCTGCACCCATGGGTGACACCCCAGTATCTATGGGTGCCCCATTGACACCCATGGGTGCCCCTTTGCCCCCCCCCATTGACCCCCCAGCACCCATGGGTATCCCCCATCCCCTCGCCCTCACCCTGACACCCTGCAGGGTCACCCTGACCCCCATTGGGCTCCCCCTGACCCCCAATGGGGTCACCCCCTTGGCACCCATGGGTGCCCCCTCCCCCCGCCGGGCCATCCTGCGTGAGGCCACCTTCCGCTGGAGCTCGCCCCGCCCCGGATGTGACGTCACCAAGGATGCTCCAATGGCGTTGGGCGACGGTCAGGTGACCCCCGGGACCCTGCTGGTGACGTCAGAGCCCGAATTGATGACGTCACGGCTGCCGTTGGTGACGTCAGAGACCCCATTGGTGACGTCAGAGGCCCCATCGGTGACGTCACTACCCACATTGGTGACATCAGAGACCCCATTGGTGACATCACAACCCCCATTGATGACATCAGAGACCCCATTGGTGACATCAGAGACTCCACTGGGGACATCTGGGACCCCATTGGTGAGATCAGAACCATCATTGATGACGTCACGACCCCCATTGATGACATCGGAGCCAGAGTTGATGACATCACGACCCCCATTGATGACGTCTGAGACCCCATTGGTGACGTCAGAGACCCCGTTGGTGACGTCAGAACCAGCACCGGTGACATCACAACCCCCATTGATGACGTCAGAAGCCCCCTTGGTGACATCAGGGACCCCCTTGGTGACATCAGAGACTCCATTGGTGACATCGGGACCCCCATTGGTGACATCAGGGACCCCATTGGTGACGTCAGAGCCCCCATTGGTGACATCAGAGCCCCCATTGGTGACATCAGAGCCCCCATTGGTGACGTCAGAGCCCCCATTGGTGACATCGGGACCCCCATTGGTGACGTCAGAGCCCCCATTGGTGACATCGGGACCCCCATTGGTGACATCAGAGCCCCCATTGGTGACATCAGAGCCCCCATTGATGACACCAGGACCCACACTGATGATGTCACCGCCCCCCTTGGTGACGTCACCACCCCCCCCGCTGCCGTCAGGCCCCGACCCCCTCCCCCCCCGCCGCCCCTTGCTCCGGGCCCCCCGCTTCACCCCAGGCCCCGCCCACCTCCGCATCTACCAATCGCTGGCCGAGGGAGAGGCTGACATCACGGCCCCGCCCCCCGCTGACGTCACCACCGAGGCGGGAGGGGGCAGCCCCCTGCCCCCCAACCCGGAAGCCGCCTCCACCAATGGCAGCGCCCGGAGGCCCTTCCCCAACCACTTGGCCCTGCCCCGCTTCGGTGACGTCATCAAGGAGGGTGGTGACGTCATCAAGGAGGGCAATGACGTCATCGAGGACATGGCGCGGGTCTACAGCCTCCTGAGCAGGGCCCGGGTGCAGCTCGACTCCATCGACCGCTGCCGATGGCACCCACCCATGGTGAGCACCCAATGGCACCCATAGGGACCCCCCATGGGACCCCCCCCACCCATAGGGACCCCCATAGGGGACCCCCCAGTGGCACCCATGGGACCCCCAAGGCAAAGATACCCCCATAGGGGCCCCCCCAACCATAGGGACCCCCCCATAGGAACCCCCTAATGGCACCCATGGGACCCCTCACCTATAGGGACCCCCATAGGGCCCCCCCTCAATGGAACCCATGGGACCCCCACCCACTTTTGGGGGCACCCATGGGTGCTGGGCCCTGGTTTGGGTCTCACCCCCCACCCCCCCCCCCTTCCCTTAGGTGTCAACAGGAGATGGGCCCAAAGAGCTGGAGGCTGAGGGGGGGCCTGGAGACCCACAGGTGGGTGCTGGGGCACCCATGGGTGCTGTGGGGGTGAATGGGTGCTGTGGGGGTCAATGGGTTGTGTGGGTCCTCAGTGAGTTCTGTGGGTGGTCTATGGGTGTAAATGGGTGTTATGGGTGTCAGTGGATGCTGTGGGTAACAATGGGTCCTATGAGAGTCAATGGGTGGTACGGGTGTCAGTGGGTGCTATGGATGTCAATGGGTTCTCTGGGGTCAATGGGTATCAATGGGTGGTCTTTGGGTGTTATGGGTGTCAATGGGCGTCAATGGGATCAATGGATATCAGTGTGTGTCAATGAGTATCAATGGGATTCAATGGGTGTCAATGGGATCAATGGGTATCAATGGGTCTCAGTGGGTGTCAATGGTATCAGTGGGTGTGAATGGGTGTCAGTGGTATTAGTGGGTATCAGTGGGTGTCAATGGGTATCAGTGGGTATCAATGTGTGTCAATGGTATCAATGGGTGTCAGTGGTTAGCAATGGGTGTCAATGGTATCAATGGGTGTCAATGGGTGCTCTCTGCAGGCCCCCCCCGCTGGTGGTCGCTGCTCTCGCTCCCCCCTGTCCCGAGCCCCTGGCCCCGAGAGCGAGCCCAGGAGGAGCCGGAGCCCCCCCCCAGGTAGGGATGGATCCATGGGGACCCATAGGGATGCATGGGAACCCATAGGGGTGCATGGGGGCCCATAGGGATGCATGGGACCCATAGGGATCTATGGGGATCTATTGAGTTCCTTTGGGATCCGTATCCATGGGGGTCTATATCCGGGTGTATCCATATCTATAGCCAGAGCTATGTATATCCATGTGTGTGCACGTCCATCTGTGTATCGCTGTCCATGTACGTCCATGTTCTGTGTTCCTTATCCACATGTATTTCTATGTGATGCTTCATATCCCATACCCCATATCCCATTCCTCATACCCCATATCCCATACCCCATTTACCCCATACCCCACACACCCCATATCCCATACCGTCTATTCTATACCCCATACCCCATATCCCATTTCATATCCTATAATATCCCACATTTTATATGCTTTATCCCATAATATTCCATGTGTCATATTTTGCATCCCATAATAACCAACATCCCATAATAACCAACATCCCATAATAACCCCTCTCCATCCTTAACCCCCATCTCTCTCCCTCCCCAGCCCCATCCCCTCCGGCCTCCCAGCGCTGCACCGAGGACGCCCCGCCCTTTCCCTGCCAAGCCACGCCCCCTCCTCCTCCGGCCACGCCCCCTCCCACCACCACCTCCTCCACCCCCTCCTCCTCCTCCACCCCCCCCTCGCCGGGTTTCCCGCGCGGCCGCTTCCCGCGCTCGGACGCCGCAGCGCCCCCTGGCGTGGCGCGGAAGAACCGCATGGCGCGCTGCGGGCGCTGCCGCGGCTGCCGCCGGGCCCACGACTGCGGCGCATGCGCGAACTGCAGGGACAAGCCCAAGTTCGGGGGGCCCAACACCAAGAAGCAGTGCTGCGTGTGAGCCTATGGGGCGCTATGGGGCACTCTATGGGTGCTATGGGGTGTGCTATGGGGTGGGCTATGGGGGCTATGGGACAGGGACAAGCCCAAGTTTGGGGTGCCCAACACCAAGAAGCAGTGCTGCGTGTGAGCCTATGGGGCGGCTTATGGGGCGGGCTATGGGGTGGGCTATGGGGGCTATGGGACAGGGACAAGCCCAAGTTCGGGGGGCCCAACATCAAGAAGCGGTGCTGCGTCTATGGGGTGTGTTATGGGGTGCCCTATTGGTGCTGTGGGGTGTGCTATGGGTGTTATGGGTGCTATGAGGTGCCCTATGGGTGCTGTGGGTGCCCTATAGGTGCTATAGGTTGTGCTAGGGGTGCTCTATGGGTGCTAGGGGTGTATTGTGGGTGCCCTATGGGTGCTATGTGGGTTGCTATGAGTGCCCTATAGGTGCTATGGTGTGTGCTATGGGGCAGGGAGCTCTGGGGTGCAGTATGGGGTGGACTATGGGCTATGCTCTAGGCTATGCTATGGGGCATTGGGTGCCCCCCCCACCACCACCCATGGGTGCTCCCCCCTCCAGGTACCGCAAATGCGACAAGATCGAGGCGAGGAAGATGGAGCGGCTGGCACGGAAAGGTGGGGCCTATGGGGGCAATGGGGCCTATGGGGTGCTATGGGGGCAATGGGTGCTATGGGGGCAATGGGTGCTATGGGGGCTATGGGTACCATAGACCACTTGAGGGAGCTCTTTAGTCCTCCACGCATCCCCACGCCCTCCATTGGCTCCTCCCTCTCCAGTGGCCCCGCCCCCCCGTTGGCTCCTCCCCCTCCCCCATTCCCCCTTTCCCCCATTCCCCCTCCCCCTGGCCACATGGTCCCAGCACCAGCACAGAGGGAGCCAGGTAATGGGGGGCTCAATGGGGGTGAATGGGGATCAATGGGGGTGAATGGGGATCAATGGAGCTCAATGGAGCTCAGTGGGGATGAGTGGGATGAATGGAGCTCAATGGGGATGAATGGAGCTCAATGGGGATGAATGGAGCTCAATGGGGATGAATGGAGCTCAATGGGGCCCAATGGGAAGCTCCTGACCGCCCCCCCCGCTTCCCCATAGGCCGCTGCCCCCCGCGTGGCGCCCCCTGGGACTCGGAGGACTCCGGGGACTCCCTGGCGGAGCCGGGGGGGGCAGAGCCCACGTGGGAGGGGGGAGGGGAGGGGGGGCCCCCCCCGGAGCCCGGGGCCCTCCCCCCAACCCCGCCCCCCCCGCGCCGCTCCGGGAGGCGCCGCCCCCCTCCCCCCCTCGGCGAGGGGGACAATGGGGGGGGGGAGGGAGAGGGTGAGGAGGGGGCAATGGGGCTCAATAGGGGGAATGGGGGTCAGTGGTGGAATGGGGGCAATTGGGGCAATGGGGGGCAATGGAGGAATGGGGGTAATTGGGGTATATGGGGGGCAATGGGCTAATGGGGGAATGGGGGTCAATGGGGGGGCAGTGGGGTAATGGGGGAATGGGGGTCAATGGGGGCAGTGGGGTAATGGGGGGCAACAGGGGTCAATGGGTGGTAATGTGGGTAATGGGGGGAAATGGGGTAAAGGGGCTATGGGGGTAATGGCACTGGGGTGCAATGTGGGGAGTGGGGGTCAATGGGGTAATGGGGTCAGTGGGCTAATGGGGGGTAATGGGGTCAATGGGGGCTCATGGGGAGTGAATGGTGTTCAGTGGAGCTCAATGGGTTCAATGGAGCTCAATGGAGCTCAATGGGGCTCAATGGAGCTCAATGGGCTCAATGGAGCTCAGTGGAGCTCAATGGGCTCAATGGAGCTCAATGGGGTTCAATGGAGCTCAATGGGTTCAATGGAGCTCAGTGGAGCTCAATGGGTTCAATGGAGCTCTATGGGGCTCAATGGGGTTCAATGGGTTCAATGGAGCTCAATGGAGCTCAATGGGCTCAGTGGAGCTCAATGGGGTTCAATGGACCTCAATGGGCCCTGCTTTGCCCCCCATTGCCCCCCTTTGCCCCCCAGACCCCCCCCCGGAGGACCTGGACCCCCCCCGGCCCCGCAGGGCCCCGCTCCAGCCCCTGCTGCAGCTGCGGGCGCGGCGCCGGCACCCACAGGTAGGGGGCACCCATGGGTGCTATGGGGGTCCCTATGGGTGCTATGGGGGGGCACCCATGGGTGCTATGGGGGGTACCTATGGGTACTATGGGAGGGGTACCTATGGGTGCTATGGGGGGGCACCCATGGGTGTGAATGGCACCCAATGGGGGGTCAGGGGGTCATGACCCCACCCTGACCCCCCCCTTTCTCCCCCCCCCACCCCCATAGGAGTGGGGCCCCCCCGGCGCCCTGGGCCCCCCCCACAATGGGTGGTCGGGGAAGGGGCGCTCCAGTGATGGGGTGCACCGGGTGCGCGTGGACTTCAAGGTGAGCAGCACCCAAAATGGCCCCAAATCACCCTAAAATGGCCCAAAATCACCCTAAAATGGCCCAAAATCACCCCAAAATGGCCCAGAATCACCCCAAAATGGCCCAAATGTGCCTCTATATGCCCTATACCCCCTTATGCACACCCTGCCCTCTTGTATATGTGCTCTATATCCCCTATACATGCCCTATACGTGCCTATATGTGTCCTATACCCCCTATGTGTATTCTATGCATCCCTGTGCATGGTTTATATAGCCATATACGTGCCCTATAACTCCTTATGAGTGCCTATACATGCCCCATACCCCTTTTGCTTACCCTATACCTCCCTATATAGCCTGTGAGTGCCTATGTGTGTCTTATACACCCTTATATGTACTCTATACATCTTTATGCATATTCTATATTCCCTATATGTGTCCTATATGTGCCCTATACCCCCTATACGTGCCCTATACATGCCCTATATGTGCCCTAAACATGCTCTATATCCCTTATACATGCTCTATATGTGACCTAAACCCCCTATACGTGCCCTATACATGCTCTATACCCCTTATACGTGCCCTATACGTGCCCTATACGTGCCCTATACGTGCCCTATACGTGCCCTATACGTGCCCTATACTCCCTATATGTGCTTATATGTGCCCTATACATGCCGTATACCCCTTATATGCGCTCTATACATGTCCTATACTCCCTATATGTGCCCTATACCCCCTATACGTGCCCTATATCCCCCCTATACCCCCTATCCGTGCCCTATATCCCCCTATACCCCCTATACGTGCCCTATACCCCCTATCCGTGCCCTATCCATGCCCTATGCGTGCCCCACGCGTGCGCTCTGCCCCCAGGAGGACAGTGCCCTGGACAATGTGTGGCTGCTGGGGGGCCTCAGCATCGTCTCCTCCGTGCCCGTCAGCGCCCCCCTCGTCTGCCTGCTCTGCGCCAGCAAGGGCCAGCACCAGGTCAGGCTATGGGGCGCTATGGGGCACGCTATGGGGTGCGCTATGGGGCACTGTGGGGCACGCTGTGGATCACAGTATGGGGCATGCTATGGGGTGCGCTATGCGGTGTGCTATGGGGCACGCTATGGGGCATGCTATGGGGTGTGCTGTGGGGCACTATGGGGCTCGCTATGGGGGACGCTGTGGGGTGTGCTATGGGGCATGCTATGGGGCATGCTATGGGGCACTGTGGGGTGTGCTATGGGGCACGCTATGGGGCATGCTATGGGGCTCGCTATGGGGCTTGTTATGGGGCATACTATGGGGGGCACTGTGGAGGGTGCTATGGACCCACTTATGGGTCTCTATGGGGTCTCTATGGGTCCCTATGTGTCCATATGGGTCCCTGTGGGGTCCCTATGAACCTCTATGGGGTCCCTATGTGTCTCTATGGGTCTTTGTGGGTCTCTATGGGGTCCCTATGGGTCTCTGTGGGTCTTTCTACTTTTCTGTGGGTCTTTATGGGGTCTCTATGGGTGTCTATGGGGTCTCTATGGGGTCTCTGTGGGGTCTCTATTGGTCCCTAATGGGACAGCGCGTTGCTGCGCGTCCACCAGGGGGCGCCATAGTGCCGCAGTGCAGTGGGGTCAGCCGAGGCCACGCTCCCTCTGCCCTGTGCATCCCTAGGGGGTCCCTATGGTTCTCTATGGGTTCCCTATGGGGTCTCTATGGGTCTCTATGGGTCTTTATGGGTCTCTATGGGTCTCTATGGGTCTCTATGGGTCTCTATGGGTCTCTATGGGTCTCTATGGGTCTCTATGGGTCTCTATTGGGTCTCTATGGGTCCCTATGTGTCTCTGTGTGTCTCTATGGGGTCTCTATGTGTCTCTATGGGTCCCTATGTGTCTCTATGGGTCCCTATGTGTCTCTATGGGTCCCTATGTGTCTCTATGTGTCTCTATGGGGTCTCTATGTGTCTCTATGGGTCTCTATGTGTCTCTATGTGTCTCTATGTGTCTCTATGTGTCCCTATGTGTCCCTATGTGTCTCTATGGTCTCTATGGTGTTTCTATGGGGTCCCTATGGGTCCCTATGGGGCAGGCGCTGACCCCCCCCCAGCTCCTCCTGTGCCAGGTTTGCTGCCAGCCCTTCCACGGGTTCTGCCTGGCGCGGGGGGAGGGGCCGGGGCCCGGCCAGGCCGGAGCCTGGAGCTGCCGCCAGTGCCGGAGCTGTCACGTGTGCGGGAGGAGGGGCCGCGGGGGCAAGGTGGGGGCAGGGGGGGCAATGGGGGGGTGGGGGTCAATGGGGAGTAATGGGGGACAATGGGGGCAGTGGGGGGCAATGGGGGTAATGGGTTAATGGAGGCAATGGGGGTGATGGGGCAATGGGGGTCAATGCGGGAATGGGGGGTAATGGGAGAATGGGGGCAATGGGGTAATGGGTTCAATGGGGGGTAATGGGGGCAATGGGGGAATGGGGGTCGATGGTAATGGGGATTGGTGGGAGTCAGTGGGTTTAATGGGGGATGGGGTAAAGGGGGTAAATGGGGGCTATGGGGGGCTATGGGGTAATGGGGGCAATGGGGATAATGGGGGTGATGGGGCAGTGGGGACAATGGGGTAATGGGGTAATGGGGGGCAATGGGGGAATGGGGTAATGTGGGTAATTGGGGGCAGTGGGGGGAATGGAATGGGGGCAATGGGGTTCAATGTGGGGAATGGGGTCAGTGGGTTCTATGGGGGCCAATGGGGTGCATTGGGACCCATTGGGTGCTCTGGGTGTCTGTGCGTTCTATGGGGTGCCATTATGGTCTATGGACGTCTATGGGGACATCGGGTCCTATTGGGGCCCAGAAAGCCCCATAGGGTCCTATAGCACCCATAGCACCCTATAGCACCCATAGCACCCTATAGCGCCCCATAGCCCCTATAGCGCCCCCTGTGTCTGTGCCAGCCCCTCCTCGAGTGCTGCCGCTGCCGCCGCTGCTTCCACCCCCCCTGCCTGGGGCCCAGCGCCCCCCCCCGGCCCCCCCGCGCCACCGCCTGGGTCAGAGCCATGGGGGATATGGGGGGGGTACGGGGGGTATGGGGGGGGCTATGGGTGGGGTACCCGTGGGTGCTATGGGGGGGTACCCATGGGTGCTATGGGGGGGTACCCATGGGTGCTATGGGGGGGTACCAATGGGTGCTATGGGGGGGTACCCATGGGTGCTATGGGGGGGTACCTATGGGGGGGCTATGGGGGCTATGGGGGGTACCTATGGGTGCTATGGGGGGGCTATGGGAGGGGCTATGGGGGGTATGGGGGCTATGGGGGGGGCTATTATGGTCTATGGGGTTCTACGGGTCCTATGGGGGGCTATGGGTTCCATTGGGGTCCCTATGGGTTCCGTGGGGGCCCTATGGGTGCTCTGGGGACACCCATTGACCCCCCCCATCCCTTTGCAGCTGTGCTGGGGGTGCTCCCGGTGCCGGCGCTGTGGGGCCACCCCAGGGCGGGGGGGGGACCCCGAATGGGAGCCCCAGGATGGGCTCTGCCCCCCCTGCGCCCGCCTCGGTGAGTGAGGGGCACCCATGGGTGCTGGGGGGGGTATGGGTGCTATGGGGGGTGATGGGTGCTATGGGTATCAATGGGTGAATGTGGGTGTCAATGGGATCAATGGGTATCAGTGGGTCTCAGTGGGTATCAATGGGTGTCAGTGGGATCAATGGGTGTCAATGGAATCAATGGTTATCAATGGGTATCAATGGCTGTCAATGGGTATCAATGGATGTCAATGGGTATCAATGGGTGTCAATGGGTATCAATGGGTGTCAATGGGTGTCAATGGAGTCAATGGTTATCAATGGGTATCAATGGGTGTCAATGGGTATCAATGGGTATCAATGGGTGTCAATGGGTATCAATGGGTATCAATGGATGTCAATGGCTGTCAATGGGTATCAATGGGTGTCAATGGGTGTCAATGGATGTCAATGGGTATCAATGGGTGTCAATGGGTGTCAATGGAGTCAATGGTTATCAATGGGTATCAATGGGTGTCAATGGGTATCAATGGGTCTCAATGGATGTCAATGGGCATCAATGGGTATCAATGGATGTCAATGGCTGTCAATGGGTATCAATGGCTGTCAATGGGTATCAATGGGTCTCAATGGGTCTCAATGGGTGCTCTGGGTCCCTCCCCTCCCCCAGGGCGCTGCTGCCCCGTCTGCACCCGTTGGGGGGGGGAGGAAGAGGAGGGGGGAGGGGAGGAGCCGCCCCTCCCCCGCTGCCCCCAGTGCCGCCGGCGCCTGCCTGCACCCAGCACCCACGGTGAGAGCAATGGGGGCTATGGGGGCTGTGGGGGGCTATGGGCATCAATGGTTGCTATGGGTGCCAATGGGGGCCTATGGGTGTTAGTTTGTGCTATGGGTATCACTGGTTCTCACTGGGGCAGTCACTGGTTCTCACTGGTTCTCACTGGTTCTCACTGGTTCTTACTGGTTCTCACTGGTTGCTCTCTCCCCCCAGAGGCTGAGGAGGCTCCGGGCGCTGCCACGGGGGGGTCCCTGCAGGGGGCGCTGCGGCGCGTGCTGGGGGGGCTCCTGCGCTCCCCCCATGGGGCCCCCCTCAGCCACTGCCCCCAGGTACCGCGGGGCACCCATGGGTGGGGGGGGGCACCCTATGGCGGTGGGGGGAACCCAATGGGGGCAAACCCAATGGGGTTGGGGGAACCCAATGGGGGGGGGCACCCAATGGGAGGTTTCCTCTCTCTGGGTGCCCCCCCCATGCTCTGGGGCACCCATGGGTGCTGACCCCCCCCCAGTGCCCCCCCGGGGGGGGGGTGAAGCTGCACCCAGGGCCCTGCGACCTGGGAGCCATTGGGGAGCTGCTGGAAGGAGGCCACTACAGCTCCGTGGTGAGGGGGCACCCATGGGTGCTATGGGGTTCTATGGGTGCTATGGGGTTATATGGGTGCTATGGGGGTTATATGGGTGCTATGGGGTTCTATGGGTGCTATGGGGTTCTATGGGTGCTATGGGGTTCTATGGGTGCTATGGGGTTATGTGGGTGCTGTGGGGGTTATGTGGGTGCTATGGGGTTATGTGGGAGCTATGGGGGTTATATGGGTGCTGTGGGGTTATATGGGTGCTATGGGGTTCTATGGGTGCTGTGGGGGTTCTATGGGTGCTATGGGGTTCTATGGGTGCTATGGGGTTATATGGGTGCTATGGGGGTACTATGGGTGCTATGGGGTTCTATGGGTGCTATGGGGTTCTATGGGTGCTGTGGGGGTTCTATGGGTGCTGTGGGGTTATATGGGTGCTATGGGGGTTATGTGGGTGCTATGGGGTTATGTGGGTGCTATGGGGTTATGTGGGTGCTATGGGGGTTATCTGGGTGCTGTGGGGTTATATGGGTGCTATGGGGTTCTATGGGTGCTGTGGGGGTTCTATGGGTGCTATGGGGTTCTATGGGTGCTATGGGGTTCTATGGGTCCCATTGGTGCTCTGCAGCAGGACTTCAGCCACGACGTCATTGGGGTGCTGCTGCGGGGGGGGGCACCCATGGGGGGCAGCCCCACAAGTGACGGCGCCTGTGAGCTCTTCATCCAGGTACGGGGCACCCATGGGTGCTGTGGGGTGGGGGGGCACCCATAGGGGTTAATGGGGCACCCATAGGGATCAATGGGGCACCCATAGGGATCAATGGGGCACCCATAGGGATCAATGGGGCACCCATAGGGGTCAATGGGGCACCCATAGGGATCAATGGGGCACCCATAGGGATCAATGGGGCACCCATAGGGATCAATGGGGCACCCATAGGGATCAATGGAGCCCCCATGGGTGCCCCTGCCCCATAGCTCATGCTTGGAGCCTTCCCCTGCTTCGACATCCGGGACCCCAAGCGCTGGCGGCCGCCGGGGGACGGGGACCCTGAGTGAGTCAATGGGAGTCAATGGGGGTCAATGGAGGTCAATGGAGGTCAATGGGGGTCAATGGGAGTCAATGGGAGTCAATGGGGGTCAATGGGGGTCAATGGAGGTCAATGGGGGTCAATGGGAGTCAATGGGAGTCAATGGGGGTCAATGGGGGTCAATGGGAGTCAATGGGGGTCAATGGGAGTCGGTGCCAGTGGGTGATGATGGCTGCCAATGGGTGATTTGGGGTCATTTTGGTGATTTTGGGGTCATTTTGGGTGATTTCAGTGCTATTTTGGGTGATTTGGGGTGATTTTGGGTGATTTCGCTGCTATTTTGGGTGGTTTTGATGCTATTTTGGGTGATTTCAGTGCTATTTTGGGTCATTTTGGGTGATTTCAGTGCTATTTTGGGTGTTTTGGGGTCATTTTGGGTGATTTCAGTGCTATTTTGGGTGTTTTGGGGTGATTTCGCTGCTATTTTGGGTGATCTGGGGTTATTTTGGGTGATTTCAGTGCTATTTTGGGTGATTTTGGGTGATTTTGCTGCTATTTTGGGTGATTTTGCTGCTATTTCGGGTGGTTTTGGGGCTGTTCCGGGTACTGACCTCTCCCCCCCCGCAGCCGCCTGCCCCACGCCGTGCTGCCCCCCTCCCCCGACCACACGTACGCCCAATGGCGGCCGGAGCCCCCCCTGCCCCCCACCGGTGAGCACCCCCCCACCCCCCCCTACCCCCCATCCCCCACCCCCACTGAAGCCCCTCCCCCCCATAGAGGAAGGGGCGGAGCCAACGGTGCCCAATGGGGGAGGGGAGGACGATCGCCAGTGCGCCCTGTGCCTGCAGTGCGGGGATGCGCCCTGCCAGGTAGGGCACCCATGGGTGCTGTGGGGGGCAATGGGGGTCAATGTTTGTCAATGGGTATCAATGGGTATCAATGGACACCAATGGGTATCAATGGGTGTCAATGGGGCCAATGGGTGGCAGCGGGTTCCAATGGATGCCAATGGGTGCCAATGGGTATCAGTGGGTACTAATGGGTGCCAGTGGGTGCCATTGGGTGCTATGGGTATTAATGGGTACCAGCGGATAGTAGTGGGTGCTATGGGTGCTGATCGGTACCAATGGGTACCAATGGATATTATTGGGTGCTATGGGTGCCAGTGGGTACTAACGGATACCAACAGGTACCAATGGGTATCAGCGGTACCAAAGGGTGCTATGGGTGCTGATCAGTGCCAGTGGATACCAATGGGTATCAGTGGGTGCTATGGGTATCAATGGGTGTCAATGGGTATCAGTGGGTTCCAATGGATATCAATGGGTGCCAATGGGTGTCAATGGGTGCCGCAGGACGAGGGCCGCCTGCTCTACATCGGCCAGAACGAGTGGACCCACGTGAACTGCGCCCTGTGGTTCCAATGGGTCCCAATGGGTGCTATGGGTATCAATGGGTCCCAATGGGTGTCAATGGGTGCCGCAGGACGAGGGCCGCCTGCTCTACATCGGCCAGAACGAGTGGACCCACGTGAACTGCGCCCTGTGGTCGGCCGAGGTCTTCGAGGAGGGGGATGGGACCCTGCAGAACGTGCACGCTGCTGTGGCCCGCGGGCGCCAGATGGTCAGCACCCATGGGTGCCATAGCAACGGGGTGGGACCTATGGGTGCGATGGGGGGGGACATGGGTGCTGGGGGGGGTAAATGGGTGCTGAGGGGGGGGAAATGTATCTAAAGATGCTCAGCAGCACCCATGGTTACCGCTGCTGTCTCCATGGTTACGGATGCTGTATGTAGTGATGTTGAGGATATCTCTAGGGATGCTCAGGGGTCTCCATGGTTACCGCTGCTGTCTCCATGGTTACCGCTGCTGTCTCCATGGTTACCGCTGCTGTCTCCATGGTTACCAATGCAGTCTCCATGGTTACCAGTGCTGTATCTAAGGATGCTTAGGATGCATGTAGGGATGCTCAGTGGTACCCATGGTTACCGCTGCTGTCTCCATGGTTACCGCTGCTGTCTCCATGGTTACCGCTGCTGTCTCCATGGGTACCAATGCTGTATCTAAGGATGCTGAGGATATCTCTAGGGATGCTTAGGGGTACCCATAGGTACCGCTGCTGTCTCCATGGTTACCGCTGCTGTCTCCATGGTTACCGCTGCTGTCTCCATGGTTACGGATGCTGTCTCCATGGTTACCGCTGCTGTCTCCATGGTTACGGATGCTGTCTCCATGGTTACCGCTGCTGTCTCCATGGTTACGGATGCTGTCTCCATGGGTACCGCTGCCGTCTCCATGGGTACCGCTGCCGTATCCATGGTTACGGATGCTGTCTCCATGGTTACGGATGCTGTCTCCATGGTTACCGCTGCTGTCTCCATGGTCCCCATCCCCTCTCCCCCAGCGCTGTGAGCACTGCGGGCGCCCCGGGGCCACCGTCGGCTGCTGTTTGCCCTCCTGCGTCGCCAACTTCCACTTCATGTGCGCCCGGCGGCGCCGCGCCGCCTTCCAGCGGGACAAGAGGGTGTTCTGCCAGCGGCACGCGCGCCTGCGGGACCCCAGCGTGAGATATGGGGCGCTATGGGGCTCTATGGGGTCTCTATGGGTCTCTGTGGATCTCTATGGGGTCTCTATGGGGTCCCTATGGGGTCTCTATGGGTCCCTATGGGTCTCTATGGGTGCAGGCGCTGGTGCAGGACGAGGGCTTTGCGGTTCTGCGCCGGGTCCTGGTGGACTTTGGGGGCCTGAGCCTCAAGAGGAAGTTCCTGGGGGGGCTGGAGCCCGAGGCCGTGCACATGATGATAGGTGAGGGCACCCATGGGTGCTATGGGGGGGTACCTATGGGTGCTGGGGGGGGTCCTATGGGTGCTGGGGGGGTCCTATGGGTGCTGGGGGGGGTCCTATGGGTGCTGGGGGGGTCCTATGGGTGCTGGGGGGGTCCCTATGGGTGCTGGGGGGGTCCTATGGGTGCTGGGGGGGTTCTATGGGTGCTGGGGGGGGTCCCTATGGGTGCTGGGTGGGGGGATCCCTATGGGTGCTGGGGGAGTCCTATGGGTACTGTGGGGAGGCACCCATGGGTGCTGGTGGACATCCATAGGGGTTAATGGGGGTCACCCATAGGGGTGCATGGGGAGCACCCATAGGGTTGTGTGGGGCACCCATAGGGGGGCACCCATGGGTGCTGACGGGGGGGTCCCGCAGGCTCCATCCGCATCGACAGCCTGGGGGCGCTGACGGAGCTGTCGGAGCGCGACGGGAGGCTCTTCCCAGTCGGATACCAGTGAGCAATGGGATGGGAATGGGTCCCATACTGGTTTATACTGGTCCATACTGGTTCTAAGTGGTCCTATGCTGGTCCTATACGGGTTTATACTGGTTATAACCTGTCCATTACTGGTCCCATATGGTTTTAACTGTTGCCATACTGATTCTAACCAGTCCCATACTGGTGTGTACTGGTCCCATACTGGTCTATACAGGTTCTAAACAGTTTCATACTGGTCTGTACTGGTTCTAACCAGTCCCATACTGGTTCTAATGAGTCCGATACTGGTCTATACCGGTCTGTACTGTTTCTAACCAGTACTAACTGGTCCCATATTACTCCCATACTGGTCTATACTGGTTCTAACCAGTCCCATACTGGTTCTAACTGGTCCCATACTGGTCTATACTGGTCTGTACTGGTGCTGACGGTCTCCCCTTGCCCCCCGCAGGTGCTGGCGCCTCTACTGGAGCACCCGGGACGCGCGGCGCCGGTGCTGGTACCGCTGCCGGATCCTGGAGCGGGCGCCGGGGGGGGAGGGGGGCGCCCGGCCCCGCCCCCCCGATATCAACCGCACCATAGCCCACGGTACGGCCCCATTGAACCCTATGGGGGGCCCATTCACCCCTATGGGCACCCCATTCATTCCTATGGGCACCCCATTCATCCCTATGCGGGACCCATTCATCCCTATGGGAGGCCCATTCATCCCTATGGGAGGCCCATTCATCCCTATGGGGGACCCATTCATCCCTATGGGGGACCCATTCATCCCTATGGGGGACCCATTCATCCCTATGGGGGACCCATTCATCCCTATGGGGGACCCATTCATCCCTATGCGGGACCCATTCATCCCTATGGGGGACCCATTCATCCCTATGGGGGACCCATTCATCCCTATGGGTGCTCCATTCATCCCTATGGGGGACCCATTCATCCCTATGCGGGACCCATTCATCCCTATGGGGGACCCATTCATCCCTATGGGGGACCCATTCATCCCTATGGGGGACCCATTCATCCCTATGGGGGACCCATTCATCCCTATGCGGGACCCATTCATCCCTATGGGAGGCCCATTCATCCCTATGGGAGGCCCATTCATCCCTATGGGTGCTCCATTCATCCCTATGAGGGACCCATTCACCCCTATGCGGGACCCATTCATCCCTATGCGGGACCCATTCATCCCTATGGGGGACCCATTCATCCCTATGGGGGACCCATTCATCCCTATGCGGGACCCATTCATCCCTATGGGTGCTCCATTCATCCCTATGGGGGACCCATTGACCTCTATGGGCGCCCCATTGACCCCTATGGGCGCCCCATTGACCCCTGTGGGCGCCCCATTGACCCCTGTGGGCGCCCCATTGACCCCTATGGGCACCCCCTTACCCCTCCCTTTCTCCCCACAGGTCCCGCCCCAGGGTCCCCCCCCAGCCCCATTGCGGGGGGGGGCCCGGAAGGAGCTTGGGGCACCCCCAGCCCCCACCCCACACGGAGACCCCCAACGGGGACCTCGTCCAGGCCCCTCCCATCCCCCGGTGGGTGCTATGGGGGATAATGGGGGTAATGGGTGCTATGGGGGTAATGGGGGCAATGGGGGTAATGGGGTCAATGGGGGTTATGGGTGCTATGGGGTCAATGGGTGCTATGGGGCTGCCCCATTGACCCCTATTGTCTCCTCCCCCCCCATAGGCACCGCCCCCCCCGTCCCCCGTCACATCCTGACCGTCGGGGACCCCGAGTTCCCCCCCCCCCGCCGGGCCCGCAGGAGCCTGGCACCCATGGGTGCCCCCCAGTGCTGGCCCAATGGGGCTCCCAATGGGGCCATGGATCCCAATGGATCAATGGCACCCAATGGGGCACCCAATGGGTCAATGGCACCCAATGGGGCCCTCAATGGATCAATGGCACCCAATGGAGCCCTCAATGGATCAATGGCACCCAATGGATCAATGGCACCCAATGGAGCAAGCTCATCGTCAAGGCCAGCATCACCCATGGAGCCAATAGCACCCAATGAGCACCCATCATCATCTATGGGACCAGCATCGCCTATGGGGCACCCATCATCACCTATGGGACCAGCATCGCCTATGGGACCAGCATCGCCTATGGGGCACCCATCATCACCTATGGGACCAGCATCACCCAATGGACCGAGCCCATTACCACCCATGGGTGCCCCCCCATTGTCCCCACTGGCCCTCAGCCACCTCTTGGGGGGGGCACCCATGGGTGACAGCAGCGAGGACGAGGACATGGGCGCCCCCAACGGCACCCATAGAGGGGGGGGCACCCATAGGGGGGGCACCCATAGGGACCCCTATGTCCACTTCAGCCGCACCGTGGTGGCCCGGCCCCCCCCATCCCCTTGCCCCTGCCCCACATCGCCCCACATCGACCAATTGGATGGGGTGGACGATGGGGACAAGGGCGCGGGGGCACCCATGGGTGCTGGGTCTATGGGTGCCCCCCCTATGGGTGCCCCTATGGGGCCAGCACCCAATGAGCATCTCCCATCGGACATCGTGGACTTCGTCCTCAAGAGCATGGGGGCCAATGGCACCCAAGGGGTCAATGGGGACGGGGGCACCCAATGGGTGCCCCATAAGGGTGATGGAGGTGGTGGCACCCAATGGGGTGGCACCCATGGACAGGATGCCCATAGCAGCCAATGGGATGGCACCCATCAAGAGGACAGCACCCATAGCACCCAATGGGACGGCACCCATCAAGAGGACAGCACCCATAGCACCCAATGGGACGGCACCCATCAAGAGGACAGCACCCATAGCACACAATGGGACGGCACCCATCAAGAGGACAGCACCCATAGCACCCAATGGGATGGCACCCATCAAGAGGAGAGCCAATGGGATGGCACCCATCAAGGTGGTACCCATAGCACCCATCAAGAGGACAGCACCCATAGCACCCAATGGGACGGCACCCATCAAGAGGACAGCACCCATGGCCATAGCACCCAATGGGCCCCCAATAGAGCCACCCCCACCCATGCCAATGGCACCCATGGGTGCAACGCCTCCATTGGTGACAATGGAACCCATTGGGTGCCCCCGTGGCCACCCAAGCGCCGGGGGGCACCCATGGGTGCTGGAGCCCCCAAACGGGCGCGCATGGAGCCCATTGGGGACCATGGGGATGGAGGCGAGGAGAAGATGGAGATGAGGTGAGGATGGGCACCCATGGGTGCCAATGGGAGATGGGGTACATGGGGAGGAGTGCCCCATTGACACCTATGGGGGGGGGTTCAATTGGTACCTATGGGTGCCCCATTGACACCTATGGGTGCCCCATTGGTGCCTATGGGGGTTTCATTGGCACCCATGGGTGCTGCTTGCACCCACAGGGCCATGGGGGACCCCATCAAAGAGGAGCCCGAGGAGCTGAGTGATGGGGGCAGCTTCGGGTGAGCACCCACATATAGCACCCATCCATAGCACCCATAGCACCCATCTATAGCACCCATAGCACCCATCCATGGCACCCAGCACCCATAGCACCCATCTATAGCACCTATAGCACCCATAGTACTCACCTATAGCACCCATTCATAGCACCCATCTGTAGCACCCATAACACCCATACCACCCACCCATAGCACCCATCCATGGCACCCACCCCCCTTTGTCTCCCCACAGGTCCCCCCCCCCAAGCGATGCTGCCCTGGACCCCCCCTGGGCCACGTTCACAGGTAAAGAGCACCCATGGGTGCCCCCATTAAACCCTATGGGAAGGGTCCCTCATGGAGCACCCATGGGTGCCCCCATTAAACCCTATGGGAAGGGTCCCTCATGGAGCACCCATGGGTGCCCCTCCCCCACCCATAGGTGCCAGCTCGGAGGACGAGGCCCCTCCCCCCCCCGAGGGGGCCCCTCCCCCCCCCGGCCGCCCCCACCTCTGCTTCGAGATCAGCAGCGAGGACGGGCTCAGGGTGACGGCGGCGTCCATTGAGGGTGAGGGCAGCCAATGGGGGAGCAGGGGGGACAGCGGGAGCCAATGGGAGATGAGGAGGGGTGGGGAGAGCCAATGGGGGACAAGGGAGACAGCGGGAGCCAATGGGGGAAGAGGGGGGACAGCGGGAGCCAATGGGAGACGAGGGGGGACGGCGGGAGCCAATGAGATGAGGAGGGGCGGTGGGAGCCAATGGGGGACGAGGAGGGAGGGTGGGAGCCAATGGGGGATGAGGGGGACAGGGGAGCCAGTGGGTACAGCGGGAGCCAATGGGGGAGAAGGGGGACAGTGGGAGCCAATGGGATCCAATGGGATAATGGGATACAGGGATGTGGGGTACAGGGGTAATGGGATGCGGGATATTATGGGATGTGGGGTATTATGGGCTGTTGGCTATTATGGGATGGATGTTGTGGGATGTTGGCTATTGTGGCATGTTGGGACATTATGGGATACGGGATATTATGGGATGTTGGTTATTATGGGCTGTTGGTTATGGGATGTTATGGGCTATTATGGGCTGTTGGTTATTATGGGCTGTTGGTTATTATGGGATGTGGGTATTATGGGCTGTTGGTTACTATGGGATGTAGCTATTATGGGCTGTTGGTTATTATGGGATATGGGTATTACGGGGTGTTGGTTATTATGGGCTGTAGCTATTATGGGCTGTTATGGGCTATTATGGGATGTTATGGGGTATTATGGGCTGTTGGTTATTATGGGCTGGCACTGACGGCTCCCTGTGTGCGCAGGGGCCTGGTCCGCGGTGCTGGAGCAGGTGCAGGAGGCGCGCGCCAAGGCCCGGCTCAAGCAGCTCTCGTTTGCCGGTGGGTGCCCCCCATCCCCCCCCCACCCCTCTGGGTGCCAATGGGCGCCATTGAGACCAGTGGGTGCCATTGACACCAATGGGTGTCATTGAGACCAGTGGGTGCCATTGACACCAATGGGTGCTGATGGGTGTGTATGGTTCTCTTTGACACCCATGGGTGCTGATGGGTGCCACTGACACCCTTGGGTGTCAATGGATGTCACTGGGTGCCATTGGGTCTCAATGGGTACCAATGATTGTCAATGGGAGTCAGTGGATGTCAATGGATGCTGATGGCTGTCAATGGGTACCAATGGGTACCAATGGCTGTCAATGGGTACCAATGGATGCTAATGGGTGTCATTGGTCCCCATTGTTCCCTATTGGTCTCCATTGGTCTCCATTGGGTCCCATTGGTCCCCATTGATCCCCATTGATTCCCATTGATCCCCATTGTTCCCATTGTTCCCCATTGTTCCCCATTGATCCCCATTGATCCCCATTGATCCCCATTGATCCCCATTGATCCCCATTGATCCCCATTGATCCCCATTGATCCCATTGATCCCCATTGATCCCCATTGATCCCCATTGATCCCCATTGATCCCCATTGATCCCCATTGATCCCCATTGATCCCCATTGATCCCCATTGATCCCCATTGATCCCCATTGATCCCCATTGATCCCATTGATCCCCATTGATCCCCATTGTTCCCATTGATCCCCATTGATCCCCATTGATCCCCATTGTTCCCCATTGATCCCCATTGTTCCCATTGATCCCCATTGATCCCCATTGATCTCCATTGATCCCATTGATCCCCATTGATCCCCATTGTTCCCATTGTTCCCCATTGTTCCCCATTGATCCCCATTGTTCCCCATTGATCCCCATTGTTCCCATTGATCCCCATTGATCCCCATTGATCCCATTGTTCCCCATTATTCCCCATTGGTCCCCATTGTTCCCCATTGTTCCCCATTGGTCCCCATTGATCCCCATTGTTCCCATTGTTCCCCATTGTTCCCATTGATCCCCATTGATCCCCATTGTTCCCATTGATCCCCATTGTTCCCATTGCTCCCCATTGTTCCCATTGATCCCCATTGTCCCCATTGTTCCCCATTGATCCCCATTGATCCCCATTGATCCCCACTGTTCCCATGCAGGGATGAGCGGGCTGCGGGTGCTGGGCATGCACCACGACGCCGTCGTCTTCCTCCTGGAGCAGCTCCCGGGCGCCGGCTCCTGCTCCCGGTACCGCTTCCGGTACCACCCCCGCCGGGAGCGGGGCCCCCCCCACAGCCCCCCCCACAACCCCTCCGGCTGCGCCCGCGCCGAGCTCTACCTGCGGTGGGTGATGGATGGGGGAATGGGGGTCAATGGGAGTCAATGGGAGTCAGTGGGAGTCAATGGGAGTCAATGGGAGTCAGTGGGAGTCAATGGGAGTCAATGGGGTAATGGGAGGAATGGGAATGGGGTACAATGGGGGGAATGGGGGCGATGGGGTAATGGGGGTCAATGGGGTAAAGGGGTGTAATGGGGGCAATGGGGGATAATGGGGGTGATGGGGGAATGGGGGTAAGGGGGGTAATGGGGGCAATGGGAGTCAATGAGGTAATACAGAGCAGTGGGTATGGAGGTCAGTGGGGGTCAATGGGGTCTATGGGGGGCTCAATGGGGGCAATAGGAGTCAATGGGGACAATGGGAGTCAATGAGCAATGGGGGGCAATGGGATCTATGGGTATCTATGGGTGTCAATGGGGTCAATGGGTGCCAGTGGGGTCAATGGGTGCTAATGGGTATCATTGGGTGCCAATGGGTACCAATGGGGGCAATGGGAGTCAATGGGTAACTATGGGTTTCAGTGGGTGTCAATGGGTGCCAATGCCTATCAGTGTGCACCTATCCCCTTCCATCCACCCCTTCCCTTGTACCAGCCCCCTTGGGGCACCCCATAAGTGCCCCCCCGCACCCATGGGTGCCCCCTGGTGACCCCCCCCTCTCCCCTCCCCCATAGCAAGTGCACCTTCGACATGTTCAGCTTCCTGGCGTCCCAGCACCGGACCCTGCCCCAGGGGCCCCCCCCCCGCGAGGATGAGGAGGATGAGGTGCAGCTGAAGCCCACCCGGTGAGCACCCATGGGTGCCCCCTGCAGCCATAGCGGGGGAGGGGGGGGAGCACCCATGGGTGCCCCCTGCAGCCATAGCGGGGGAGGGGGGGGAGCACCCATGGGTGCCCCCTGCAGCCATAGCGGGGGAGGGGGGGGAGCACCCATGGGTGCCCTGCAGCCAGAGTGAGGGGTTAGGGGCACCCATGGGGGGTGGTTGGGCTCAGGGGCACCCATGGGTCCCTGTTGGGGTTGGGGGCACCCATGGGTGCTGGTTGGGGTTGGGGGTACCCTTGGGTGCCGGTTGGGGTTGGGGGTGCCCATGGGTCCCTGTATGGGGTTGGGGGTGCCCATGGGTGCCGGTTGGGGTTGGGGGTACCCTTGGGTGCCCTGACCCCACCCCCAGCCGTGCCACCAGCCTGGAGCTCCCCATGGCCATGCGCTTCCGGCACCTCAAGAGGACGGCGAAGGAAGCGGTGGGGGTCTATCGGTGAGGGCATGTTGGCAATGGGGGGCAATGGGGTTTATGGGGGTCTATGGGGGTCTATGGGAGTCAATGGGGGCCAATGGGGGTCCATGGGGGCCAGTGGGGGTCAATGGGGGCCAATGGGGGTCTGTGGGTGCCAATGAGTCCCAATGGGTGCCAATGGGGTCAATGGGTATCAATGGGTGCCAATGGAGTCAGTGGGTGGCAATGAGGCCAATGGCTGCCAGTGGGTATGAATGGGTCCCAATGGGTATCATTGGGCGTCAGTGGGTGTCAATGGGGTCAATGGGTGCCAGTGGGTATCAATGGGTGCCCCTGGGTGCAATGGATTCCAAGGGGTATCAATGGGTCCCAATGGGTGCAGTGGGTCCCAGTGGGTCCCAATGGGTATCAATGGGTGCCACTGGGATCAATGGGTCCCAATGGGTGCAGTGGGTCCCAATGGGTGCCAATGGGTCCCAATGGGTGCCAATGGGTGCCAATGGGTATCAATGGGTCCCAATGGGTATCAATGGGTGCCAATGGTTCCCAACGGGTGCCATTGTTCCCCGTGGCCCAGCTCTGCCATCCACGGCCGGGGCCTGTTCTGCAAGCGCAACATCGAGGCGGGGGAGATGGTGATCGAGTACTCGGGCATCGTCGTGCGCTCCGTGCTCACCGACAAGAGGGAGAAGTTCTACGACAGCAAGGTGGGGCCTGCCCCAGAGAGACCCAGAGAGACCCATAGTGAAACCCATAGCACCCCATAGAGCCCATAGCACCCCATAGAGAGACCCATAGAGCCCATAGAGACCCATAGTGAAACCCATAGCACCCCATAGAGAGACCCACTGCGCCCCATAGTGAGACCCATAGAGACCCATAGAGACCCATAGTGAAACCCATAGCACCCCATAGAGAGACCCATAGAAAGTCCCACAGTGTCCCCTAACACCCCCCAAGCCCCATCAGTTAACCCCAGCCCCATACCTCCCACTTAGCCCCATAAGTTACCCCCATCCCCATCAGTTGCCCCCAACCTCATGGCTCCCCCCCAGCCCTATACCCCCCCCAGCCCCATAATTTACCCTCATCCCCATCAGTTACCCCCATGTTACCCCCTTAGCCCCATAAGTTACCCCCATCCCCATGAGTTACCCCCATCCGCATCAGATAACCCCAGCCCCATACCCCCCCCAGCCCCATAAGTTACCTCCTTAGCCCCATCAGTTCCCCCATCCCCACATCTCCCCCTTAGTCCCATAAGTTACCCCTTAGCTCCATAAGTTATCTCCATCCCCATCAGTCCCCAGCCCCATAAGTCCATCCCCATCAGTTACCCCCTTAGCCCCACATCTCCCCCTTAGCCCCATCAGCCCCCCCAGCCCCACATCTCCCTGTACCCCCCCCAGGGCATCGGGTGCTACATGTTCCGCATGGACGCCTCGGAGGTGGTGGACGCCACCATGCACGGCAGCGCGGCGCGGTTCATCAACCACTCCTGCGAGCCCAACTGCTACTCGCGGGTGATCCAGGTGGAGGGCGCCAAGCACATCGTCATCTTCGCGCTGCGCCGCATCCTGCGCGGGGAGGAGCTCACCTACGACTACAAGTTCCCCATCGAGGAGCCCGCGGCCAAGCTGCCCTGCAACTGCGGCGCCCGCCGCTGCCGCCGCTTCCTCAACTGAGCGGGGACGGACCTGGTTATGGGGTCCTGGGGGTCTCTATGGGGGATGGGAGGTGGTCCGGAGTCAATGGGACCTCGGAAAGAGGAGATATGGTGGTGGGCACGAAGCCATTGAGATACCTGCAAGTGATGGAGATGGATTATAGATGTAGATATGGAGTCCTGGAGGTGTCTATGGGTGATGGGAGGTGGTCCGGAGTCAATGGGACCTCCTAAACAGAAGATACGGAGGTGGGTTCGAAGCCATTGAGATACCTGCAAGTGATGGAGATGGATTATAGATGTAGATATGGAGTCCTGGAGGTGTCTATGGGTGATGGGAGGTGGTCCGGAGTCAATGGGACCTCAGAAAGAGGAGATATGGAGGTGGGTTCGAAGCCATTGAGATGCCTACAAGTGATGGAGATGGATTATAGATGTAGATATGGAGTCCTGGAGGTGTCTATGGGTGATGGGAGGTGGTCCGGAGTCAATGGGATCTCCTGAAGAGGAGATATGGAGGTGGGTTCGAAGCCATTGAGATGCCTACAAGTGATGGAGATGGATTATAGATGTAGATATGGAGTCCTGGAGGTGTCTGTGGGTGATGGGAGGTGGTTGGGAGTCAATGGGACCTCCTAAAGAGGAGATATGGAGGTGGGTTCGAAGCCATTGAGATGCCTATAGTCAATGGGAGGTGATGGAGATGGGATCTGGAGGTGGTTATGGGGTCTTGGAGGTACCTATGGTCAATGGGGGGTGATGGAGGTGAATGGGGGGCAATGGAGGTGAATGGGGAGTAATGGAGGCCAATGGGAGGGGCTTGGGGGTCAATGCGGGGTCATGGGGAGGAGCTATGGAGGTGGCCCTGAAGCCCTTGAGATGCCTGCAGCCAATGGGGAGCCAAGAAGGCTCTATGGACACCAACCCCCAGCCAATGGGGAGCTGCTCTGGGACCCTCCCGAGCCCCCAGCCAATGGGGAGCCAGGAACACTCAGTGGACACAAAACCCCCAGCCAATGGGGAGCGGAGATTCGGGGCCAATTTAAGCCCTGGGAATGCCCCCAGCCAATGGGGAAGCGGCAGGAGGCGGGACCCGGACCGCGCATGGAGCCCTCATTGGGGCCCAGGGACGCCTTTGGGGGTGGGGTTTGCACCCGGAAGTCCCGCCCACAATAAACGAGGCCGCGCCCCCTTCTATGGCTGGGGTCCTTTCTCTCATGGCTCCGCCCCTCTCCGCTCGCCGCTCCTATTGGCTGCCCTGTCTCTATGGTAACCCCCCTGCTCCGCGTTGGCCCCGCCCCCTCCCCGGAGTCCGTTCCCCATTGGCCAAGCCCCCGTCTCTATGGTAACGCCCTCCCACCCGGATCCGCTCCTTCCGTTTCCCCCGCTCTGTCCAATCCCGTCCCGGCTTTCCCCTTTGGCCCCGCCTTCCCCGCGCTCCCATTGGCCGAGCGGCCGCCGGAAAGAACACAGCCGGAAGCGGAAGCGCTGCTCGGGGCCTGTTGCGGCGGCGGTGGAGGTAAAGGAGCGGGGCCCGGCGCTTGTGGGGCACTTGTGGGGCCTGTGGGGCAATTGTGGGTCCCAATGCAGGGCTATGGGGCGGTTACGGGTCCCAATGAGGGGTTACGGGGCAGTTATGGGTCCCAATGCAGGGCTATGGGGCAGTTACGGGTCCTAATGGGGGCCTATGGGGCAATTACGGGTCCCAATAGAGGGCTATGGGGCAGTTACGGGTGCTAAGGGGTGGTTATGGGGCAGTTGTGGGTCCCAAGGGGCAGTTGTGGGTCCCAAGGGGTGGTTATGGGCCCGGGGGGGGTGACTTGTGGGGCAGGGCTGATCTGTGGGGCGCAGATGAACCTGGAGCGCGTCTCCAATGAGGACAAGCTGGATCTGTGCCGCAAGTACTACCTGGGTGAGCCCCATAGAGCCCCTTTTCCTCCCCATAGACCTCCTTCCCCCCCATATCCCTCTATGGACCCCTAAAGACCCCCATAGACCCCGTTTTCTGCCCCCATAACCCCCTAAAAGGTCTCCCATAAACCCCTAAAGACCCCATAGCCCCCCCATATCCCTCCATATCCCCCCATAGACCCCCCCATATGCCCTATATCCCTCCCATACCTCCCCCATATCCCCCCATAGTGCCCCATATCCCCCCATAGACCCCTCATATCCCCCCATTACCCCCCATATGCCCCCATACTCCTGCATACCCTACTCATACCCCCCATAGCCCCCCCATAACCCCCATAGACCTCCCATATCCCCCCATACCCCCCATATCCCACTCATCCCCCCCATACCTCCCCATATCCCTCCCCACAGATCCCCCCATGGTGCCCCATAGTGCCTCATACCCACCCCATAGACACCCCCCTATCCCCCCATATCCCCCCCATAGCCCACCCCATAGCGCTGTGTGTGTTTCCCAGGGGGCTTTGCGCTCCTGCCCTTCCTGTGGCTCGTGAACGTGCTCTGGCCCCATAACCTGCCCCATATCCCCCCATAGCCTGCCCCATAGCCTGCCCCATAGCCCACCCCATACCCTGCCCCATAGCCCGCCCCATAGCGCTGTTTCCTTCCCAGGGGGCTTTGCGCTCCTGCCCTTCCTGTGGCTCGTGAACGTGCTCTGGTTCTTCCGCGAGGCCTTTGTGGTGCCCCCCTATGGGGAGCAGGCGCTCATCCGGCGCTGTGAGAGATGGGGGGCAGGGGACGTGGGGGAAGGGGTCTATGGGGGGGAGTATGGGGGGGATAATGGGGGGATATGAGGGGTCTATAGGGGGTAATGGGTGGGTATGGGGGGATATGGGGGGTAATGGGGGAGTATGGGGGGTAATGGGGTGATAATGGGGGGATATAGGGAAATATTGGGCACTATGGGGGGTCTATGCGGGGATATGAACGGAATATGGGGAGGAGATGGGGGGATATGGGGGGTAATGAGGTGATAATGGGGGGATATGGGGCTCTATGGGGTAGCAGCAAGGTTCAGTTGCTAACCTGGGGGTACCCCCCTTGTCTCCCCCCATTGCCCCCCTTCTACCCCTGCACATCCCCATATCCCCTCCATGTCCCTTGTACCCCATCTATGCACTCCTGTGTACTTCCTATATACACCCTATGTGTCTCCATACACCCCTATATACATCCCTATACACTCCTATATACTCCTGTACCCGTTCCTGTACACCCATATGTATTCCTATATACATTCCTATGTATTTCCTATATCTATATATGTCTCTATATCCTTATATACCCCTATATACTCTCCTATATACTCTTATATACCCCTATATACCTGTCTATACCCTCCTCTACACTCTATGCCCTTATACTCTCCCCTGTATACCCGTATATTCCCCTCTCCGCCCCTATGCATACCCCTATATACTCCCCAATGTACTTCCATATCCCCCCATTTATCCCTACATACACTTCTCTATACCCTATGTACCCCATACATACCTCACCTGTACATAATCCCCATATATATGCATATATATCCCCACATACACATATGCTCCTATATACTCTATATCACCCTATACCCTTTTATATACTCCTATATCCCCCTATATATATTCCCCTATATATATACTCCTATATACTCCTATCCCCCATACATATATACCCATATCTGTACCCCCTCATTCACATCCATCCCCATATCCATCCCTATAACATCCATGTGACCTCCATCCATGTGACCTCCATCCATGTGACCTCCATCCATGTGACCTCCATGTGACATCCATGTGATCTCCATCCATGTGACCTCCATGTGACATCCATCCATGTGATGTGCATCCATGTGACATCCATCCATGTGACATCCATCCATGTGACATCCATGTGACCTCCATGCATGTGATCTACATCCATGTGACATCCCTGTGACCCCCACCCACGTGACCCCCCCCACCCCTGTGACCCTCCCCCCCCATGTGACCCCCCCCCACGTGACCCCCACCCACCCCCCCACGTGACCCCCCCTCCCCCCATGTGACAGACGTGCGCCGCTCTGCCCTGGGTCTGTCCCTCTGGGTGCTGGCTCTGGGGGCCTGGCTCGGGCTCTTCCAGACCCAGCGCGGGCACTGGGGGGCCTGGGGGGACCTCCTGGCCTTCACCCTGCCTCTGGGCGCCCCGTGACCCCCGCCCGTCACGTGACCACAGCGTCAGCCAATGGGGAGCGACCGAGGGGATCAGCGCTGCTCCGTTCAGCTCACTTCGATGGGGTCACGTGGCCGTGGGGTCCACCAATGGGGATGGAGGGGGATCAACGGCCCAGCAGCATCACCGAGGGAGGTGGAGGAGGTGAGGGGGAAATGGGGGAAAATGGGGGGAATGGGGGAAAATGGGGGTTAAAATGGGGGAGAATGGGGAAAATGGGGGTTAAAATGGGGGAGAATGGGGAAAATGGGGGTTAAAATGGGGGAAATGGGAATGGGGTAAAATGGGGGAAATTGAGGTTAAAATGGGAGGAAAGGGGTTAAAATTCAGCTTAAAATGGGAGGAAAAGGGTTAAAATGGGACGAAAGGGTTAAAGTGGGAGGAAAAGGGTTAAAACTCAGCTTAAAATGGGAGGAAAAGGGTTAAAATGGTTGGAAAAGTGTTAAAATGGGTTAAAATGCAGCTTAAAATGGGGGAAATGGGTTAAAATGGGAGGAAATGGGTTAAAATTGGAGGAAAAGGGCTAAAATGCAGCTTAAAATGGGGGAAATGGGTTAAAATGGGTGGAAATGGGTTAAAATGGGAGGGAAAGGGTTAAAATGGGAGGGAAAGGGTTAAAATGCAGCTTAAAATGGGGGGAAACGGGTTAAAATGAGGGGGAACGGGTGAAAACGGAAGGCAGTGGTTAAAATCGGGGGAAAATTCGGTTAAAACGGGTTAAATTGGGTAAAACCGGGGGTTTTACCCCAAAGCTGTGGGGATTTACCTCAGATTCGGGGCGGGGGGGCACAAAATGGCGGCGCGCGGGGGGGGGGGAGGGGGGCGGGCGCAACAAAATGGCGGTGGGCCGTGCCATTGCGGCCCTGGGGGGGGGAGCACCGCTGTTCCTGGGCTGTACCATGGGCTCTGAAGGGAGGCGATCCCCCCGTTGTGCTTTGCGGGTGCTGATTGTGTGTGTGTGTTCCCCCCCCAGGAGCGGTGACGTCGTCTGACGTTATATAAAGGACTCGAATTCGCCCCACCCCCCGATCCCCCGTTTTTTAATGCGGGTTTGGTGCGGTCCGACCCGCTCCCCTCATTAAAGCCTCTTTGGCCACGCCCACTCGGTGCTCATTGGCTGGGAGAGACGGGGGCGTGGCTTCGCGGTGGCGGCGGGAGGGGTGGGCGCCATTGTTGGACTACATCTCCCATCATCCCCCCCGAGCGCCCCATCCGGGTCTCTACACCGGAAGGGGGGGAGCGGCACTTCCGGCGTCTTCCGCGCGCAGTCACGATGGAGGAGCTGGGGCTGCTGAGCGAGAAGGTGCAGGTGAGGCGCGAAACGGGCCCAAAATCGGCCAAAATCACCCCAAAACGGCCCAAAATCACCCGAAAATACCCCAAAATAGGCCCAAGTCACCCCAAAGCAGCAAAAAATCGGCCCGAGGCACCCCAAATCGGCCCAAATCACCACAAAAGAGCCCAAAATCGGCCTAAATAAACCCCAAATAACCGCAATATCGGCCCAAAACAGCCCAAAATCGCCCTAAAAGAGGCCAAAATCTGCCCAAAAGAGCCCCAAATTACCTCAAAGCAGCCCAAAATCGGCCTAAATAACCCCAAATCACCTCAATATCTGCCCAACAGACCAGAATCTCCCTAAGCCAGCCCAAAATCGGCCCAAAAGAGACCCAAATCACCCAAAACAGCACAAAATCTACCCGAATCACCCCAAAATGCTCAAAAAACCCCAAAATCAGCTAAACCACCCCAAAATCGCCCCAAATCCCCCAAAACAAGCCCAAATCCACCCTAAACCAGCCCCAAATTGACTCAAATCCCCAAAACCACCCCAAAATCACCCAAACCAGCCCAAAATTACCACAAATTCCCCCAAACAAGCCCAAATTCACCCTAAATCGTCCCAAAATTGACCCAAATCCCCCAAACCACCCCAAAATCGCCCCAAACCCCTCAAAACCAGCCCAAATTCACCCTAAACCAGCCCAAAATAGCCCCAAATGCCCCCAAATCTGGCTGAATTCACCCCAAAATGCCCCTAAACCACCTCACACCCCCCATCTATGGTCCCCTCCCCATCTATGGTCCCCCCCCATCTATGGGTCCCCCCCCCATCTATGGTCCCCCCCCATCTATGGTCCCCCCACATCTATGGTCCCCCCCTCTATGGCCCCCCCCCATCTATGGGTACCCCACCATCTATGGGTCCCCCCTATCTATGGGTCCCCCCCATCTATGGGTCCTTCCCCCCCCCCAGGAGGAGGTCCCCGCCCTGGCCGCCCCCCGCCCCCCCCCGGGTCTGTCCTTCCTGGTGCCTGAGCCCGAGGACCTCGAGGACCTCTACAGCCGGTACAAGGTAGGGGGTAATGGGGGACAATGGGGATAATGGGGGGCTATGGGGGTAATGGGGGGGAATGGGCAAGGGGGCCAATAGAGTTAATGGGGGTAATGGGGGGTAATGGGGCAATGGGGGAATGAAGAATGGGGGATAATGGGGGTAATGAGGGGGATGGGGGATGGGTAATGGGGGTAATGGGAGCAATGGGGGGCAGTGGGGTTGATGGAGGCAATGGGCAATGGTGGTAATGGGTTGCAGTGGGGGCAATGGGGGTAATGGGGCAGTGGGGGAGTGGGGGCTTTGGGGCCAACGGGGGCAATGGCGGTAATGGGGCCATGGAGGCAATGGGGGGAATGGGTGCAATGGGGCAGTGGGGGTAATGGGTGCAATGGGGGGCAACAGGGGGTAATGGGGACAATGGTGGGCAATGAGGGCAATGGACAATGGGGGTAATGGGGGCAATGGGCAGTGGGGTCAATGGGGCATTGGGGAGCAATGGGGGTAATGGAGATCATTATGGGATGTTGACCTCGTTGGCATGGGTTGGAGAGCGTTGCTAGGGGATGCGGTCTGTTACTATTATGGGATGGGCTGGAGAGCATCAATGGGGTGGGGACCAGTGCTATGGGATGGGGATTATTATGGGATGGGGTCGTTATGGGATGGGGTCGTTATGGGATGGGGTCATTATGGGATGGAGATCATTATGGGATAGGGATCATTATGGGATGGGGTCATTATGGGATGGGATCATTATGGGATGGGGATCATTATGGGATGGGGTCATTATGGGATGGGATCATTATGGGATGGGGTCATGAGTTGGGGTCATTATGGGATTGGGTCATTATGGGATGGGATCATTATGGGATGGGGATCATTATGGGATGGGGTCATTATGGGATGGGGATCATTATGGGATGGGGTCATGAGTTGGGGTCATTATGGGATTGGGTCATTATGGGATGGGGTCATTATGAGATGGGGTCATTATGAAATGGGGTCATTATGGGATGGGGATCATTATGGGATGGGGATCATAATGGGATGGGGTCATTATGGGATGGGGTCATTATGGGATGGGATCATTATGGGATGGGGATTATTATGGGATGGGGATTTTCATGCCACATGGTGAGTATTATGGTCTGCCTGTGACCATTATGGGATGGAGTGTGACTGTTCCGCTCTGTCTGTGATCATTATGGGATGGATGGAGGGTGACTATTATGGTCTGTGTGTGATCATTATGGGATGGATGGAGGGTGACTATTATGGTCTGTGTGTGTGTGTTAGCGGCTGCAGCAGGAGCTGGAGTTCCTGGAGGTGCAGGAGGAGTACATCAAGGGTGACTGTTGCACTGTGTCTGTGACCATTATGGGATGGATGGAGGGTGACTATTATGGTCTGTGTGTGATCATTATGGGATGGATGGAGGGTGACTATTATGGTCTGTGTGTGATCATTATGGGATGGATGCACAGTGACTATTATGGTCTGTGTGTGTGTGCCAGCGGCTGCAGCAGGAGCTGGAGTTCCTGGAGGTGCAGGAGGAGTACATCAAGGGTGACTGTTGCGCCGTGTCTGTGATCATTATGGGATGGATGGAGGGTGACCATTATGGTCTGTGTGTGATCATTATGGGATGGATGGATGCACAGTGACTATTATGGTCTGTGTGTGCCAGCGGCTGCAGCAGGAGCTGGAGTTCCTGGAGGTGCAGGAGGAGTACATCAAGGACGAGCAGAAGAACCTCAAGAAGGAGTTCCTGCACGCGCAGGAGGAGGTGAAGCGCATCCAGAGCATCCCCCTCGTCATAGGGCAGTTCCTGGAGGCCGTGGACCAGAACACGGCCATCGTGGGCTCCACCACTGGTGAGCGCCGGCGCCATAGGGCAAAGCCATGGAGAGAGTCCTATGGAGCAGCACCATGGACAGAGCACCATGGGTAGAGCACCGTACAGCAGTACCATAGATAGGGCTCCATAGAGCAGCACCATGGATCAGCACCATGGATAGAGCCCCATAGATAGAGCACAATGGAGAGAGCCCCATAGAGCAGCACCATAGATCAGCACCATGGACAGAGCATCATAGAGCAGCTCCATGGATAGAGCTCCCCATTGATACCCATTGACACCGATTGACTCACATTGACCTTTATTGAATCCGTTGACACCGATGGATCCCCATTGACGACCATTGACGCTGATTCACCCCCATAGACACCGATTGATCCCCATTGACTCCATTGACACCGATTGGCCCCCATTGACACCGTTGATATTGATTGACCCATATTGGCCCCTAATCAATCCATTGACAGCGATTGACTCTCATTGATTCCATTGACACTGATTGACCTGTATTGGCCCTTATTGAATCTGTTGACACCAATTGATGCCCATTAACACCAGTTGACCCCCATTGACGCCTATTAAGACCGATTGACCCCCATTGGTGTTTATTGACAGCGTTTGATCTCCATTGATGCAGATTAACTCCTATTGATTGTCATTAATGCTTATTGGCACTGATTAACCTGTATTGTAGCGTATTGAATCTATTGACCCCCATTGACCACCATTGACTCCCATTGACTCCCATTGACCCCCATTGACCCCCATTGACTCCCCTTGACTCCCATTGACCCCCATTGCCCCCATTGACTCCCATTGACCCCATTGCCCCCCATTGCCCCCATAGGCTCCAACTACTACGTGCGCATCCTGAGCACCATTGACCGGGAGCTGCTCAAGCCCAACGCCTCGGTGGCCCTGCACAAGCACAGCAACGCCCTGGTGGACGTCCTGCCCCCCGAGGCCGACAGCAGCATCATGATGCTCACCGCCGGTGGGTGGGGCAGGTGTGGGGCAGCTGTGGGGCAGCAATGGGGAAACAATGGGGAAACAATGGGGACCAATGGGGAATCAATGGGGAAACAATGGGGAAGCAATGGGGAAACAATGGGGAAACAATGGGGAAGCAATGGGGAGGGAAGGGGCAATCAATGGGGCAGCAACGGGGAAGCATGGGGAAGCGATGGGGAATCAATGGGGCAGCAATGGGGTATCAATTGGGAACCAATGGGGAACCAATGGGGAAGCAATGGGGTGGCAATAGGGAGGGAAGGGGCAATCAATGGGGAAGTAATGGGGAAACAATGGGGAGGGAAGGGAGAATCAATGGGGAAACAATGGGGAGCCAATGGGGAACCAATGGGGAACCAATGGGGAACCAATGGGGAACCAATGGGGAAACAATGGGGAACCAATGGGGAACCAATGGGGAACCAATGGGGAGGGAAGGGGCAAACAATGGGGAAGCAATGGGGAAACAATGGGGAATCAATGGTGCCCCATTGCTGTGGGTCCGTGCCCCATTGCTATGGGTCTGCCCCACTGCAGACCAGAAGCCGGATGTGATGTACGCTGACATCGGGGGCATGGACATCCAGAAGCAGGAGGTGCGCGAGGCCGTGGAGCTGCCCCTGACCCACTTCGAGCTCTACAAGCAGGTACCAGCCCCATTGCCCTGCCCCATAGCCCTGCCCCATAGCCCTAGTCCAGCCCCATAGCGCTGTCCCATAGCCCAGCCCCATAGCCCTGCCCCATAGCCCAGCCCCATAGCCCAGCCCCATAGCCCTGCCCCATAGCCCTGCCCCATAGCCCAGCCCCATAGCCCAGCCCCATAGCCCTGCCCCATAGCCCTGCCCCATAGCCCTCCCCATAGCCCTCCCCCCACCCCCCATCACCCCCCATAGCCCTGCCCCATAGCCCTGCCCCATGAACCCCCATCACCCCCCATAGCCCTGCCCCATAGCCCTGCCCCATAGCCCTGCCCCATAGCCCAGCCCCATACCCCAGCCCCATAGCCCTGCCCCATTGCTCTGCCCCACAGATCGGCATCGACCCCCCCCGCGGGGTGCTCATGTACGGGCCCCCCGGCTGCGGGAAGACCATGCTGGCCAAGGCTGTGGCGCATCACACTACAGGTAGGGCACCCATGGGTGCTGGGGGGGCAGAGGGGTCTATGGGTCTCTATGGGGTCTCTATGGGTCTCTATGGGGTCTCTGGGTCTCTATGGGTCTCTATGGGTCTCTATGGGTCTCTATGGGTCTCTATGGGTCTCTATGGGTCCCCCCAGCCGCCTTCATCCGCGTGGTGGGCTCGGAGTTCGTGCAGAAGTACCTGGGGGAGGGGCCGCGCATGGTGCGCGATGTTTCTATGGGTCCCTATGGGTCTCTATGGGTCTCTCTCTATGTGTCTCTATGTGTCTCTATGGGGTCTCTATGGGTCCCTATGGGTCTCTATGTGTCTCTATGGGTCTCTATGTGTCTCTATGTGTCTCTATGTGTCTCTATGTGTCTCTATGTGTCTCTATGGGTCCCTATGTGTCTCTATGTGTCTCTATGGGTCTCTATGGGTCTCTATGGGTCTCTATGGGTCTCTATGGGTCTCTATGGGTCTGCCCCCCAGCCGCCTTCATCCGCGTGGTGGGCTCGGAGTTCGTGCAGAAGTACCTGGGGGAGGGGCCGCGCATGGTGCGCGATGTTTTCCGCCTGGCCAAGGAGCACGCCCCCGCCATCATCTTCATCGACGAGATCGACGCCATCGCCACCAAGCGCTTCGACGCCCAGACGGGGGGTACCCATGGGGGGGATGGGGGGCACGGACCCATAGCGAGGGATGGGGGGCACGGACCCATAGCGGGGGATGGGGGGCACGGACCCATAGCGGGGGATGGGGGGCACGGACCCATAGCGGGGGATGGGGGGCACGGACCCATAGCGGGGGATGGGGGGGGCACGGACCCATAGCGGGGGATGGGGGGCACGGACCCATAGCGGGGGATGGGGGGCACGGACCCATAGCGAGGGATGGGGGGCACGGACCCATAGCGAGGGCAGTGGGGCGGCTGTGGGGCAGCAGTGGGGCAAGGGTCCCATAGGGACAGCAATGGGAGTGGGACACTGGGATGGGGGGCAGAGCCCCATAGGGACAGCAATGGGGGGCATTGGGGATAAGGGCCCCATAGGGACAGCAATGGTGGGGCATTGGGGTGGGGGACAGAGCCCCATAGGAATAGCAATGGGGGGGGACCCACTGGGGGTCATTGGGGCAGCCCATGGGTGCTCTATGGGCACTATGGGGCAGCCCATGGGTGCTCTATGGGCACTATGGGGCAGCCCATGGGTGCGCTATTTGCGCTATGGGGCAGTCCATGGGCTCTATGGGGCAGCCCATGGGGTCTGGGCACATGGGAGCTGGCCTATGGGGCAGCCCATGGATGCTCTATGGGCTCTATGGGGCAGCCCATGGGTTCCATGCCCCCCCAGCTGACCGCGAGGTCCAGCGCATCCTCCTGGAGCTCCTCAACCAGATGGACGGCTTCGACCAGAACGTCAACGTCAAGGTGGGGCCCAGGGGGTGCTATGGGGGTCCTATGGGTGCTATGGGGTGCTATGGGGTGCTATGGGTGCTATGGGGTGCTATGGGTGCTATGGGTGCTATGGGGGTGCTATGGGTGCTATGGGGTGCTATGGGTGCTATGGGGTGCTATGGAGTGCTATGGGTGCTATGGGGTGCTATGGGGGTGCTATGGGTGCTATGGGGTGCTATGGGTGCTATGGGGGTGCTATGGGTGCTATGGGGGTGCTATGGGTTGTATAGGGTGCTATGGAGTGCTATGGGTGCTATGGGTGCTAATGGGTTCTAGTAGGTGCTATGGGGGTCCAGTGGGTTCTATGGGTGGTCTCTATGGGTCCCTATGGCTCCTTTGGGGTCTCTATGGGGTCTCTATGGGTCTCCCTATGTGTCTCTATGGGTCTCTATGGGGTCTCTATGGGTCTCTATGGGGTCTCTATGGGGTCTCTATGGGTCTCTATGGGGTCTCTATGGGTCTCTATGTGTCTCTATGGGTCTCTATGTGTCTCTATGGGTCCCTATGGGTCCCTATGTGTCTCTATGGGTCCCCCCCATTGCAGGTGATCATGGCCACGAACCGCGCGGACACCCTGGACCCGGCGCTGCTGCGGCCCGGCCGCCTGGACCGGAAGATCGAGTTCCCGCTGCCGGACCGGCGCCAGAAGCGCCTCATCTTCTCCACCATCACCGGCAAGATGAACCTGTCCGAGGAGGTGGACCTCGAGGACTGTATCCGGGTCACTGGGGGTCACTGGGGGTCACTGGGGGTCAGGGGTCATGGGGCGCCGGAAGCGCCTCATCTTCTCCACCATCACCGGCAAGATGAACCTGTCCGAGGAGGTGGACCTCGAGGACTGTATCCGGGTCAATGGGGGTCAATGGGGGTCAATGGGGGTCAGGGGTCATGGGGCGCCGGAAGCGCCTCATCTTCTCCACCATCACCGGCAAGATGAACCTGTCCGAGGAGGTGGACCTCGAGGACTGTATCCGGGTCAATGGGGGTCAATGGGGGTCAATGGGGGTCAGGGGTCATGGGGGTCACTGGGGGTCAGGGGTCATGGGGCGCCAGAAGCGCCTCATCTTCTTCACCATCACCGGCAAGATGAACCTGTCCGAGGAGGTGGACCTCGAGGACTGTATCCGGGTCACTGGGGGTCAATGGGGGTCAATGGGGGTCAGGGGTCATGGGGCGCCGGAAGCGCCTCATCTTCTCCACCATCACCGGCAAGATGAACCTGTCCGAGGAGGTGGACCTCGAGGACTGTATCCGGGTCAATGGGGGTCAATGGGGGTCACTGGGTTGACCTAATGGACCTCCATTGGGTTGGCTTCATGGGCTTCCATTGGGTCAACGTCATGGTCTTCCATTGGGTTGACCTGGTGGACCTCCATTGGGTCGATCTCATGGACCTCCATTGGGTTGAGCTGATGGACCTCCATTGGGTTGGGGACAATGAGGGCCCAATGGGGGCAATGGGGCGCAATGGTTACAATGGGGGCACAATGGGTACAATGGGTGCAATGGGGGGGCAATGGGGCCATGGAAGAGGGGCCGTTTCCTTCACCTCCCCCCCAGATGTGGCTCGGCCCGACAAGATCTCCGGTGCTGACATCAACTCCATCTGCCAAGAGGTGGGTACCAGCTTGGGGGGCAGCTATGGGGCGGTCAGTGGGGCACCATGGGGGTGATGGCCATCAATGGGTCACCATTGGGTTGATGGCCATCAATGGGTCACCATGGGGGTGATGGCCATCAATGGGTCACCATTGGGTTGATGGCCATCAATGGGTCACCATTGGGTTGATGGCCATCAATGGGTCACCATTGGGTTGATGGCCATCAATGGGTCACCATTGGGTTGATGGCCATCAATGGGTCACCATTGGGTTGATGGCCATCAATGGGTCACCATTGGGTTGATGGCCATCAATGGGTTACCCCAATGCCCATCATTGCTATGGGGTTGCCCTGGCTGCCCCAATCCC